ACAGTAGTTTCCATAAATTTAAAGAGGTTTTATTTTCTTATAATTTAGCGGGTCTTTGCACGCACGGTTTTGATTGTATCCTACGTCTCATAATATTATTATTCAGAAACGGGCACCGATGGTTCTTGTTTGTACATTCATTGCATAACACGACTCCAGATAATACGGTCGTGCAAGGAGTAGGTTCAGTGTGTAATCGCATACCAGAGATACCAAGGCTGTTCGAATAACAAGACTAACAAACATGCTCCCATCTCCTGACATCTGCTCAATTTATTGTGCACGAAATTGTTTTGTATAACGTTCTAAAATTAGATACATTAATCAGCAGTAAAAGATACTTCGGGTCCCGTTGGGATGTAATTCCTTTGTAAGGTTTGCCTTATTTTATTATTCACTACATAATATTCGGTGCTTACAAAAATACAAAAATCTAAATAAACTAGAGGTCCCGCAGTAGTCGAAATTCGACTATAATTAATTGGAATTGTAAGTTTGTACACTATTATGATTGTATTTTATACTTCTATAATCACAAATTTCGCCAAGACTACACTATAAAAAAATATTACCAAGACAAACAATATTTAATCTATTCTCAATTTGACAACAGACGTCAAGAACAAAAGTTTGACAATAAATAGTATGCATGCGTGTGTGCGTCAAATACACGGTATGTAGTGTGTGTAATGTTTTCTTTATTGATTTAATGTATCTTTTATGCATTATTTTAAAAAAAATATTAGTATTGTGCACTTCTTCTCTATATTCTCTATAAGTGTGGAAAATTTCATACTCCTCCGTCCGCGTAATTTTCGTAAAAAGGGATACAAAGTTTTTGCTTCACGTATTAATATATAGATAGTTCACGGTTTATTAAAATACAAGCATTTGTTCGTGAGGCATCTGTACTGCATGGTTTCGTGCAAACGGTCAACAAAAATATTTTATGATTGATTTAAATTTATGTAGAAGTTCTTACTGATTACTATACTGTTAATTCGTGACTCATGGCGTTTTGTAATCACGGATTCTTATTCGTGTATAGACAATAACTCAGCACGTAAATATAATTTATATGTAAATGTAGCGGCCATGCTTGCTCTGATTCGGTCTCTAAACAGAAATCCAAAATTTCACATTTCATTAGACTATGTTTCAAAAAATTTAAGCTTAAAGTATGGTTCGCGATTTGCAGCTAGTGTTGATGTACTCAGCGGTTGACTCATGGCCATGACCTTCGTCCGAACGAGTTGGCGACGACACGCCATTCTACTGTTTTAAGTAAGCTTACTAGAATAAGTCGGTGCAAGCAACCAAATTTATATTTTTGTGACCCAATGTGACCAAAAAAGATTGGACTTTTTTAATTACACACCCGATCGGATGATAATTTTTTTTCTACCTGTTTGCTGGTAACTTAAGAGACTATTTCAGGTTCGCGTGGACAGGTAGGTGTGCTCACGGGCACAAACTAAGAGTATTTGCTAACAAAAGCTCAATCAAGGGCAGTTGTTCAAAGAATCTACCACCAGATCGGAATCGCAACCCACTAAGAAAATCTGACGAGAAACACAGTGGACTGTGTCTATGGTTTGATTTATTTTGAAGTCGTCGTGGCCTAAAGGATAAGACGTCCGGTGCATTCGTATCGAGCGATGCACTGGTGTTCGAATCTCGCTGGCGGGTACCAATTTTTCTAATGAAATACGTACTCAACAAATGTTCACGATTGACTTCCACGGTGAAGGAATAACATCGTGCAATAAAAATCAAACCCGCAAAATTATAATTTGCGTAATTACTGGTGGTAGGACCTCTTGTGAGTCCGCACGGGTAGGTACCACCGCCCCGCCTATTTCTGCCGTGAAGCAGTAATGCGTTTCGGTTTGAAGGGTGGGGCAGCCGTTGTGACTATACTGAGACCTTAGAACTATATCTCAAGGTGTGTGGCGCATTTACGTTGTAGATGTCTATGGGCTCCAGTAACCACTTAACACCAGGTGGGCTGTGAGCTCGTCCACACATGTAAGCAATAAAAAAAAACAAAAAAAAAACACTGAATCTGAAACATTGATTTTGAAGTCGTCGTGGCCTAACGGATAATACGTCCGGTGCATTCGTGTTGAGTGATGCACCGGTGTTCGAATCCCGCAGGCGGGTACCAATTTTTCTAATGAAATACGTACTCAACAAATGTTCACGATTGACTTCCACGGTGAAGGAATAACATCGTGTAATAAAAATGAAACCCGCAAAATTATAATTTGCGTAATTACTGGTGCTAGGACCTCTTGTGAGTCCGCGCGGGTGGGTACCACCATCCTGCCTATTTCTGCCGTGAAGCAGTAATGCGTTTCGGTTCGAAGAGTGGGGCAGCCGTTGTGACTATACTGAGACCTTAGAACTATATCTCAAGGTGTGTGGCGCATTTACGTTGTAGATGTCTATGGGCTCCAGTAACCATTTAACACCAGGTGGGCTGTGAGCTCGTCCAACCATCTAAGCAATAAAAAAAAAAAAACTATAATACTATATCGTTATACAAATGAATATGAACATTTAGTATTAATGTATTTTTTTTTGTGAAGTAGTCAACAATTTAAATGAACTTGCTGACATCATTGATTTAAGTTGTTACAAACGATCACAAAACAAACCAGCTTTAGTGTTCGAGGTCAATTTACTCCAATGAAAAATTCGCGTTTTAGTAATGTATAAGAATTGTGAATATAAACAGGTTTTTTGTTTTATTATGAAATAATATTTTCTCTTTTGAGATCGTAGCAGACATATTGGTATTCTGAGTAGAATCATTAGAACGAATCACTCGCCCGGTTCTTTCAATTGGATAAACACCCAAGACGAAGAGCCGCGCCCGCTCCTATTGCTGGTAGCTAATTCTTAAAATTTAACAGTACTATATTTGAAATTGCGTCACACGGTACTACGAATATACTACATAAAGAGAATATTTCGTAAAGTTGAAGATTAAGAATTTTTCAATATTGAAGATTAAGAATTTTTCAATATTTTTTTGTGGCAAAGTCGACTTCAAACCCTACAATAACATGGTAGTATTCAATAAAAATGCTTTTAGAAAAGCATTTCCCATTTTACTATACATATTTTAAAACAAAAGTGTGGGGTTTGCGGTAACAAAAAATAGTGTACGACATAACTGAACGTACAAAAAATAACATATTTTTATTATATATTTGTTCATTGTGAATAAAATAAAGTTGATAACTCTGTAAAGTAGTTTTTTTTGTTATCAATAAAAAAATCATAATAAAAAATGTTTACCCGAATAATTATTTTCTTTATATCTCGAATAGAACTTAAAATTAATATTTTTATAATAAGGAACTTCGTTCCTATCCGGTGTCCCACGACACCACACATCCTTTTTTACATGATAGGTAACGAGTTGCAGTGTTCATAGATTTCATCGTAAGTGTTGCCATCACCGCCACCAGATACGAGAATGAAGTCTGTTAAATAAAATAACAGTTGTTCCACCCTAATTCATAACATTCAATCTAAAAAGATGTACATACGACAGTAAGACATATCCTATTTTGCCGCTAAGCAGAATGCGTTCTGACCTTGAAGTATAGCATGTTTTTACTTTATAATTAAAACTTTGAATTTATTTATAAAAGTTTGTAGTTTCCACTTTTCAAATTATCCGGGGTGCATGGTAATTGACTGCAATAGGACTGTTCTGGACTGCAACGTTTCTTAGATACTGGCTAAATATTTTTTTAGCTTTCATTGTCTCCCGCTTTTCGGGTAAGGATGTCGGAATCAAAATTACTATGACTCTATTTTTATTTTATTTTCATTGCTTACTCTCGTGTTATCTGAATCTCGTCGTTCTGATTATTTTCGTGATCGCAGCTGTGAAACCTGGCTAAAACCCAGATTTACACTGATGGGAGTAAGTAGTAAATACGTAAAAAATTCACGTAATTCACGTAATTTAAACATTGTTTTCAATGTTTCGAACAATTAAACGAATCTGAACTGATTTAAATATAATGAATTGAAATGTTTCAATTTCTAATAACATCAGTGCTAGTTTTTTAATTAAACGAAAAATTAAAAAAATTAAAATATACGTTTGCGTTGCGTATACAATAGTCACAACACTCACGTGATCACTATAATAAATATTACAATGCAATTACTAACTACACTGTAACTGGATTTGTGTTATTAATGAATTGGCGCAGTTTCCTGTACAACTAACTTATACATATAGGTAAATCTCACTATAATGGAATATAATTTTATGTGTCATATGCTTAGACGATATAAGATTCTTTTTTTGTAAGATAGTTTTATTATTAGAATAGTGCGTATACAATAGTCACAACACGCACGTGATCACTATAATAAATATTACAATGCAATTACTAACTACACTGTAATTGGATTTGTGTTATTAATGAATTGGCGCAGTTTCCTGTACAACTAACTTATACATATAGGTACATCTCACTATAATGGAATGTAATTTTATGTGTCATATACTTAGACGATGTAAGATTATTTTTTTGTATAGATACTTTTATTATTAGAATAAGATTCATTCAGAAGACATTTATAATAGCCGGATATGAGTGGTTGCTCAGGGGATCGTGTGTACTATGGATCGTGACGTGAAAACGTTGCTCCGTGGCAGCCCGGGCTGTATCGACCCGTGACGTCACTCTAGGAAGCTTACCCTTGAGCATTGTGTCCTGTTGATTTTTTCAACATTATTTCTCTGTTATTCGTTAAGCCGCTTTCAGACTATGCTATAATATAATAGCATATAGTATATAGCTCATAGCACAGCAATATCGCACACCATACATTGTTATGGACACGGTCACTCTGTACTGTAATGTATATTATTGGCTAAGTATAAGCTGCTATACTATATGGCACTATAGCGTAGTCTGAAATCAGCATAATTGTTAATTTTAATACTCAATGTTCAATTAGCTTACCTAAAGCGGCCAGCGCCACGAGGGCGGTGAAAATCGTAGTAGCCATATCACTAGCACGACACTTCACTATTCACTTGATTCACTTATAAACTTCAAATAAGAAAATCACTGAGACAAAAGAGTCGAATAGGCCGCAATGCGGCCGGGCTTTGCCCGAATCTGAAACAAAACCAAAAACGTTAATTTATCTCTCTTACAGATTACGATTGGCTATTAGCTATTCTTGAAAAACGAGGATTTATCTAAAGTTTTTGACAGGAACACCGGCTTTAAGACTACGGGTTCAGTGATTTGGTAGGAGCGGCTTAATTTTATTTCAATATGTTGTACCATTTCTCATTAAAGTCTAATTTAAAACAAACCAAGGTTTATACTGTAGTTGTATTTCTAGAACGTACGTCCTACGGACATGTGCTATGGTTGCGATCACTCATCCACGCGGTGGTATAGAAGTTTTTAGCGTTTTGAATTTTAAGACCGGAAGCTGTACTCATTGAAATTACTTAGTGACTAAAAACGGAGTGCAACGGATTTTGAAAGGGCATTAAACTTTTATTTTGGTATTCGGCGTTTATTATTTTATTTGTATTCTAATTCGTATTATAATTTTATTTGTAGATACTTAAAAGAAAAGTAGATTGTTGAGTATAAAAAATATATTATTTAGAAAATAACTTCGTGAAAATAGTTTTTATAAAAGAAAATAATCGGAAAATACATATCAAAATGCGTACAAAATTAAGAAGTGTGAAGTACGTACGATTCAGTACATGTTTCACATAGCCTCGTACGTTCATGAGTGACGGAAGATTATTTCGGGCTCCATTATCCAGAAATGGGCACGCGACGTTCGTGTTTAGATTTAACGAACTTACAGAACGGGTACGCTGTAGTAAAATATACGTACATACATAACATAATTAACTGAATACGTATACTTAGATAATATATAATATCTAAATATCTACTAAATTAATCTATCTTCTTCTTCTATCTTCTATCTTCTTCTTCTATATATATAAAAACGAACGGGGCTGCACCGACTTTGCTAATTTGGGTCTTGAATTATTTGTCGAAGTCCAGAGAAGGTTTAAAACGTAGATAAATATGATAATTCTCGGAATTAAATAAAGTTTAGGTCTTTTATTTATCGATTGAGGCCGGGTCAGCTGGTATCTAACAGATATTAATCTCTGTCTCTGTGCTTTTTGCAGCTTAGATACGTTGAATAATACCGAGATACATTTAATATTTTTGAATGAATTTATTTAGTGTGTTAGAGGTGGTTATTTATAGTGGTAGCGTTGGTGTTCGTTTTGATTTACAATTTAAAATTATTCAATGTTAAAAAAAATTCCAAAAAAACTTTGGAAAAAAACTTAAACGAAATCCAAAATATTGTAGGTACTATGTATCTATTATTATCCACACTGGTCTTTCAAATCTGTTAAAGACATGAGTCGTTGCGTTCAATTCATCCCGCTGTCGATCGTATCGCCCCCAAGCTGTCTGCTGCAATAGCTGTGACCCCCACCCCCTCAATTCAACGACGTAGATGCGGAGATTGGGAACGCGTCTCGTAGCCTCCCCAACTCTAGCTTGGGTCTATGCCCTCCCCCCTCCCGTACTAACTGCGCATCAATTGAATAGGTAGGTACTGTAAAACTATAGCCGTATGTATGAACTATTCAACGACTTCACAGGAGCCATGTTTCATTTGACAGTTTCTGCGGTTTGCATTGACGCTATGAGTAAATTGTAAGCGATGACGTCACAAAACTTTAATGAATGAGTATGACACACGTCACTGTGTTATAGTACACACAAGAACTCTATTCGTAGCTCTATTTTAAATAGATAAATTCATATTCATGTCATAGGTACTTTGTTTAAATTATCAACACTTTCGTGAAAACCTCTTGAATTGAATGTTATTACTAAACTACCTAAAATGGTCCATATCGTATACCATGATTTAGTCTTATTATACTTTTGGTTTCCTTGATAGCTAGCTATTAATAAATCTGTGGTTAGGTTGAATAATTCACCTCTACGGTCGTGAAAGTATTCGTGTGATTGAATTTCGCACCGGATAGAGTCGGATTGGTTTAAGCTTTGCTCTACCTGCCGTAAAAAAAGTCGTCCCGTCTTCTGTTAAATGCTTTGCACCTGTCGTGAGTTGGACAGGCCCAAAACAAGTATTTCCCCGTGTCAAACGTAATTTTGACATTAATTATTCCATGTAGGAATTAGTAGGAAGGTGTTTTATTTGGACATCGTTTGTGCAACACATTCTAAACCCACGCTGTTATAACTACGAGGACAAAACATCTTTTGAAATATTTTCCTAAGCAATATTCAATTAATCTCAAGATTTACAGTATGTAACAACCCTAAATAATATATGAAGTAGTTTAATTTTAGTGTAATTATTTAATAAGCATTATGATCAGTTTTTTTCTTTTTTTGGACGAACTTCCTCGAAATGCGTATGAGTCTTTATTTGCATATTTCTGCTCTACTTTTGTGGGGTTTATCTTTATTGATTTTTATTTGATATACATAGTTCTATAAAATCTAGGTATCGTCTCCGCGCTACACGTTATGTGTAATAATCATTAACACATACCTTTAATCTTATCTATTTTTGTCAATAAATAAGTAATATTTGACACCGTCAACTTATACATGCTTCTTTTTTTGTTATAATCGGAAGCGACGATTTAGATGCGAAATGCAATAACAAGCATTTTCATCATATCCTTCGAAATACCGCGTTGGTATTTTAATGTTTAATGTTGAAATTAGTGAATAATCATTTTTCGAAATTAAAAAATTACGATACCAAATTTCTCTAAATAGTACTACTAAACACTCCCAAATTTAAATAAATGTAACGCCCCTAGCTAAGTCCAAATAGCTCAGTGCAGGTGGTCGGTTTTAGGGAGAAAAACGCACTGAAGTATGTTACGATATAATTTTATTATGTATATGTATGAAATTTTATTTCAACATAATACGGAAATATAAAGAGTACATAAATCTAGTGTAGACATTACTGGCGCTTATATTCACCCCGGTCAAGACAACATCGTTATCGATCGCGGCCGCGCATTCGTCGGGCCGGCATTTTTTGCAATCAAGGAATTCCTACACAAAAGTTGAATGAAGAGGGCACATTGCATACAAAGAAAGCTCAGAAACGTACCTGCGTAGAATCAGCGATGGGTTTGCACAGCACCCACAACACATAAACCACAACACGCGCGGAGAGACGAGCGGCAACAACCGACTCGCCTAAGCTACAAGATCGGTATGAGTAGGCTTGATATGAATTTGTATAAACGGCCAATGACACTCGTCTCATGAAAAGGACGGGCTCTATATATCTGTTCTCTTTTAACGAATAGGACTACAGCGCGGTCCTGGCAGAGACGTAGCTTGGAACCGATATTTTGGCGAGGGTCACAGGACTCGGGGATTTGGTGCGCGCGCAGGAAATACGTTATTAAGCCTGTGTGTCGAACGTACGTGGGTGTATTTTATTATGAATAGATCTATTTCTATGTCTACCACGAACGTTACTTTAGCTACAGATTTTTTAAGGCTGGATGTCAATTTTATTTTTCTCTTTATTGAAAAGAGCATTGTCATAATGTGATAACAACCTCAGCCCCATTTATCATTTCCAATGTATTGTAGCTAGCTTTAAAAAAAATATAAATATAGAGTTGACTCTACCACAGGAACTCTATCAGAGGTGAAGTGTGAAAGTAGCCCCGGTAATTAAAAAATTAAAGAGCGGACGGTTAGCATGTCCATGTACGTGATGCGTAGAGAGAAGGTGCATGTGACTAGGAGATGTAAGGAAATGGTAGTGCAAGGTAGAGGGAGAAGTGGTCGACCGAAGAAGACATGGATGGAGTGTGTGAATGACGATATGAGAGAGAGAGAGAGAGAGGAGTGAGTGTTGAGATGACGGCTGATAGTGGGATAAGGTGGAGAAAAAGAAGAGAGTTGACTCTACCACCAAATCAATGTGTATGAAATAACTCAGTATGGGTTGCAATAAACTGAAAGTTCTAGTGAGAGCCCTCACTTGGTACTGTGTTGTGAAGCCACACGTACAAGCGGATCTTGTAACTGATTCACTCTGCAATTATTGGGAGAAAACTCCTCTACTGTAAGGCTGATGTCAGTATGTCTACAGATGGGTAGTATGTCATTCAGTTTTCGAAGGGGGCTTTCTCGGTGTCGAAGATAAAAGTTTGCCAAATAAAATAATCCAGTTTATGCTGGTTTAGGCCTGAACAGATGAAGTTATGTACTTTAGGAAGACGGAATAGATCCATTGTACATTTTAGGCAGCGGCGTTGTTCCAACTCTGGCATTGCTGACGTCCATTGGCGACGGCAAACGCTTACTATCAGGTGGGCTACATATTCGTCTGCCTACAAGACCAATAAAAATCCATATGGTGTGGTATTAAAAATTAATAGTTATATACTACCTAAATAGTAGTAAGTTCACAAAACGAATTTAACATCTAATATGTTTCACCACTTAGATAAGCGTTTTATACTAGGGATAGAATTGTTGAGGTCGATAGAGGCAATATAATTTGAGTAGCTAGTACCGCAATCCCTTGCGAAAACTAATATCACCATGCAGTGTCTTTTTCGTGACCCAAAATACAGTTTTTAATATGAAAAAAATTTGTTCAAAGTTTAGTCTCTGGCACAAATTAACAACTATCCATTTAGGACGCTTCTCACCGAATCACAGTTAACGAAGAGAATGGAAATGAACGGTTTCATTTCTCTAACTTCCGAAAGCTCATCAAAATCTGGATGCCTGTTTGCGTACCTATAATAAAACTTGAAGTCGTCGTGGCCTAAAGGATAAGACGTCCGGTGCATTAGTATCGAGCGATGCACCGGCGTTCAAATCCCGCAGGCGGGTACCAATTTTCCTAATGAAATACGTACTCAACAAATATTCACAATTGACTTCCACGGTGAAGGAATAACATCATGTAACAAAAATCAAACCCGCAAAATTATAATTTGCGTAATTACTGGTGGTAGGACCTCTTGTGAGTCCGCACGGGTAGGTACCACCACCCTGCCTATTTCTGCCGTGAAGCAGTAATTCGTTTCGGTTTGAAGGGTGGGGCAGCCGTTGTAACTTACTCGAGACCTTAGAACTTATATCCCAAGGTGGGTGGCGCATTTACGTTGTGGGTGTCTATGGGTTCCAGTAACCACTTAACACCAGGTGGGCTAATCTAAGCAATAAAAAAAAGTCTGAATAATAATAGTCATTTTTAAATTTAATTAAAAAATATTTCTATTTTATTTACTATGCACAACAAAATCATCATCATTATCTTGGGCCTTACAGCCCAGGGTGGGCCTTAGCCTGGTCCAGTATGTCTCTCCAGGCTGCTCTGTTCAGGGCTTTCTCCTTCCAGTTCTTATCACCGATAACTTTGAGGTCGTGCTCTACGCCATCTAACCATCGGAGTTTGGGCCTGCCACGACTTACGCGGCCCTCTGGTTTGCCATATAGTAGTTCTCTTGGCATTCTGGTCTCCTCCATTAGAGCTACATGTCCTGCCCGTCGTCGGCGTCTAATTTTTATAGTTTTTATATGATTAGGATACTTGTAAATATCATACAACTCGTGGTTATAGCGCGTCCTCCATATCTCATTTTCCTGCACAGCACCGAATCTCCGTCTTAGGATCTTACGCTCGAACACTAGTAGACGGTTCTCATCCTTTTTGCTGAGTACCTATGTCTCTGAGCCATAAACAAGAATGGGTTTCAGTGGTGTCTTATAAAGAAGAATTTTGATATTTCATGACAGAATTTTTGATCAGAAATATTTAAACAGGCCGAAGTAGCATTTATTCGCCGACAATATTCTCTAGCACAACAAAATACCCATAATATTAAGTTATTTCATTGGTGTTTTTTTTTTATATTCATATAAAAATATTATGTAAGAATTCTTTTCGTAAATAAAATACTGTTAAATATATGTATATTATGATTTATTTCCAATAAAACTATAATGAGATGCTGACATATTATTAGATGTCCTATCTCATTAACGAACTACAAAAAGTCGAAAATTTTACATTACACTTCTAATTCTATTTGGTGAAAATCCCTTATGGCACATTCAAATAATTCATAAATGTAATAAAAAAATTATTGTCTTAAATTAGTATAAAAAAAATTGTATAAAACTTCAACGAACGATCCAACGAGAAAATTGTTTGTATTATATTTTTAACATTTATCCATAGGCCCTTAACACACTAAACTTGATAAATATTTAGAGCTCATTCATCTGTGATGTTTCTGCAATTCCGTTAGAGACTGTAAGGGCGGGCACACAGATATCATTGAGCCACTCAAGTTGACAACATCATATTTTGTTAATTCTTTCGTTTCCTCTACGCTTTTCTATATAAAGCAAAAACAATTACTTTATTTATATATCTTAAGAAAAAAAGAGAATTAAAAAAGAACACTACAGATGTATTCTTGTAAACCTCAATTTGTCAATATCGTATTATAAAAAAATGGTTTTATTTAATGTTTGCATGGATGAAATGGAAACAAATCAATGAAGGTGTATGTATCAAACAAAGAATAATTAGTAAATACATTTCAGTAATCCATCCGTTTTTAACTTAAAAAAGTATTGATTAAAAATATATATTTTTTTTTAAGTTAACAAGCTGCGAGTTTAAAGTACAATTTAACACTACATATGTACATACATACTGATCTGTGGCGACTACAAGACAACGCTACATTTAATCTCCAAAAAATTTTCAGATACAATTCTTCGAGTCATAACTACGAAAAAATAAAACCGCATCGTTTATGAAAGTGAATAACATACGCGAGGTGTATCTAAGCGGTCTCGTGCGGGGCGGGCAGCTTGTCCCAGGTGGGCTCCACGCCCCAGATTTCGCGGGCGTACTCCGTGATGGTGCGGTCAGACGAGAACTTGCCAGACGACGCGATGTTCTCGATCACCATCTCCGCCCATTTTGTCTGGTCCTGGTCACATTATAATGACAAATGATTAAAAAAAAAAAAGAAAAACATTGCAGTAAAGCTTCTTAGGTCATGTTTTAGTAAATTTCGTGACACGAGCGAGAAGAAATATATGACGTAGAGAAGGATAGATAAATGTTATACTGTGGCCGAGGAAGTGGAGTAAAAGACAGCGACTATACACCTCGATATAAAGTTATTTTTAAATGCATCACTTTGAGAAGGCGACACGACACGAAAACCCCCTTGTCGTGGCCGCCGGAAATTACATACCCGATCTTGTGGACCGAATGGTAAACAGTCGACGTCGCCCTAAACACGTCATTAAAGATCCTCACGATCTATTAACGATGCTTTCAAGTACCTCAAGCACCGGTCATCGTTCTCGTCGAACCTGTCGCTTGCGACGAAGGGCTCGACGAGTAAATTAACTCTCAGACACAGCCCACTGAGTTTCTCGCCGGATCTTCTCAGTGGGTCGCGTTTCCGATCCGGTGGTAGATTCTGCGAAGCTCTGCTCTTGCTAGGGCCAGTGTTAGCAACACCTCCAGTTTGAGCTCCGAGAGCTCACCTACAAGCTAGGGTGAAGCTGATATGGTCTCTCAAGGCTATCAGCATAGGTAAAAAAAAAAAGATCTTTAAAAGATTCTCAGTAAAATGGGAGATGTTTGGTAAGTTTGTATAGCGGCAACATGCACATGAATGTCAACCCTGACACAATCATGGTCTAAAAAACTACGATTAGCAGGGTTGAAGCATGTGTCTGTCGTTACTTCGATACGCCTATTTTTGCTGCGAAGCATTTCGGCTTGTAGGGTGGGACAGCCGTTGTAACTATACTGAGACCTTAGAACTTATATCTCAAGGTGGGTGGCGCATTTACGTAGATGTCTATGGCTCCAGTAACCACTTAACACCAGGTGCGCTGTGAGCTTGTCCACAAAATTAGCAATAAAAAAAAAAAATAGACGTAGTCCATTTTTTGAAAATTGTCGTACTAATAAAAAATAAATTTGTATTCATGGAAACTTTTCGAGCGCTCCCTGTAGCTATAAAGATTGTGGTACCACTACCGGATGTCGAAAGAGGTCTTATTAACTCAGTTCATTACCTGGTATACGTCGGCGACTTTCTGCTGGGCCTCGACGTAAGCGTCGTAGTCGGCGAGGTGCAGGAAGCGGTCGTGGTGCAGCAGCACGTCGGCGACGTGCGCGAACTTGCCGGGCTCGCCCGTCGAGAAGAACCCGCTGCGGATCTGCTCCACGCACTGCCGCAGCTCCGGGTTGCGCTCGTAGTACTCGTATGCGTTGTACCTGTAGTTTAATTAATTGTTCGTTTTAAACTCAAATTAGGAGATAAATAAATAATAGTTTAATGAAACTAGCAAAATACGCTTTTATAGAAAATCCATCTAGAAAATAGAAAATAAATTTTAATAAATTTGAATTCAAAATTGTGTAAGAAAAAATGATTTTATTGTAATAAAAGCGTGGGGTGCTTTTCAGGATATTATCAAAATAACCCTCCTGCTCATATCTGTTCATAAAATATTTATAACTAGTGATATCATGCACCCCACGCTTTTTAGATGGATTTCCTATAAAAGCGTATTTTGTTAGTTTTTTTAAACAATTTTTTTTTTCATATTTTGGTTTAAGTTTATTTTATTTTTTTTCATTTTTTTTCTTTTTCAGTTTGTTTTTTAAATATTAAATTGTCATCGATCCTTAATAAGTATACCAAATTTCGAGTTAATCCGACGTTTTGAAGGGGGTCAAAATCATGTTCAAAGATTCCGTTACAAACTTACCTACTAACATACATACGTCTGAAGCTAATAAACGCGTATTAAAAACAATCAACATACAGGATGTAGAAACCATAGAACGAACAGTAAACTATATCAGGTAATCAACTCTGTATTTCTTCCAGGTCGTGGATTTCGAGCGCCATTATGTTTGCAATTATGCAATGTGCAGTGCAAATTTATTAGTACAATTTAATTTTTCGATTGTTTCTTATTTTTTCAGTCATGTTAAATCGTTTTCGAGACATTTCGATTCGATCGTGAATTTAGTTCACTTAACAGTTTGTGTAAATGAAGACTGAAGATTCAGCAAGAGAAATGCTCTGCTCCATCTCACACTAATCATTTTGAAACCTAAGTAAGTCTATACCTAGTCAGGTTTTCCTCCAAGTGTTGCCATATCTTGTAATCTAACGGATTCAAATCTGGACTGGAGGAGGGCCAGTCTTCGTGCCGGATGAAGTCGATTTCACGCGCCGCCAGCCAGTCTTGTGTGCTCTTCGCTCTATGAGCTGGCGCCGAATCTTGTTGGAATACCCAGTGCCTGTTATTGAACATGGTATGAGAAACAGGTTCCACAAGGTTCGTCAGGACTGTATTTTGATACACAACTGCATTCGTTTTTACACCTTTCTCACAAAAATGTACCTCTGTTAAGCCCCAATAAGAAACTCCCAACCATACCATGAGCGAGGATGGAAAATGACCTCGTTGGACACGCGGAATACGGTTGCTCGCTTCTTCACTACTGTGTGCGTACACCTTATCATTTTGTTTGTTGTAGCTCTCTTCTACGGTAAAAATTTTTTCATCCGAAAAAAGAATTTCCCGATATTTTTTTCCCGCGTACCGCTTCAACAAAGCGCGGCATCTCTTCAGTCTCAGGTCCATTAGACGAGCATTCAAACGATGTCCTGTTTTTCTTCGATATGCCCGAAGCCCTAAGTCTTCATTTAACACCCTTTTCACCGTGGTTCTGCTTAACCCCATCTGAAGGGCCAACAGTTTCTGCTTACGTTTGGGATTTCTTTGAATTCGCGCCTTCACAGCTTTTATCACTGCTGGAGTCCTAACAGACCGAGGGCGACCACTTCTTGACCTGTCATCTACACTAGAGTCTTCATTGTATCGTTTGATGGTACGATAAACGAATCTTTTGGTTATATTCAAATTTTTCAGTATGTTAAAAATTTGAATTGGCGCGTAACCGCAACGATGCAACGCAATAACTGCAACACGGTCTTCTTTAAGCGTCCACTCCATATTTAAAAATGAGTAAAATTCTAAAAGTATACATTTTTATTTTCATGAACAATTCGAAATTCGAATTCAATAAACTTTTTTGTGGCCAGCATTCTAAAAGAAAAGTTTTTACTGTGTGACAATACTTATGACCTGACTAGGTATATACAAAAATGAATTGCTGTTCGTTAGTCTCGCTAAAACTCGAGAACGGCTGGACCGATTTGGCTAATTTTGGTCTTGAGTGATTTGTGGAAGTCCAGAGAGGGTTTAAATAAATATGAATTTGCCCGGAATTAAAAAAAAATAACAATTTTGTTTTTCCTTTGATGTGTCCCCCGTCGGACGGATTCCTTTTGTTTGTTTTAAGTTTATTTTATACAAAAGTTTAGGTCTTTTATTTATCGATTGAGGCACTACGAAGTCTGCCGGTTCAGCTAGTCATGAAATAGAAAAGTACCCACCCGCGCTGTTTCAGTGCTTCGACATCGTCAACTCTCATTCCGAAAATGAAAAAGTTCTCTTCACCAGCTTCTTCGGCCATTTCAACGTTGGCTCCGTCCATGGTGCCAATAGTTAACGCTCCATTTAGCATAAACTTCATATTGCCGGTGCCGGATGCCTCAGTTCCTGCTGTTGAAATCTGAAAAGAAAAAAAATCAGAACAGAAAAATTATATAAGTATAGATAAGTTATAAAAAATAATTTTAACACTCTTATCGCTAAAGATGATGGTCAGACAGACAACCATTGGACGAACAAAGTTTGTGGAAAAGAAAGAAGTTAGATTATAATTCCTCGGATACAAACGTTATTCGTAAAATTTCTAAAACGATTACTGTTAATGGCTTACCTGTTCGCTCAAATCCGATGCCGGGATGATACGCTCTGCCAAGGTCACCCGATAGTTCTCGAGGAATATCAGCTTCAACTTGTCACCTACGTCTGGGTCGTTGTTCACCTGTTCAAAACAACTTTTGTTAAGCAAATACGAGAACATTGATCGGTAATAAGCCTTTGACGATTAAGTCCAAATACTCTGTGGTGGTTTTCTCAGATACTAGAGTAGTTTATAAAGATAGAGATGCTCCCTACCCTACCTACATAAAGTGACACTTTTCAATGTTTATATTATGACGCAAGTCTGATGTTTGCGGGATTTTGGTCTACGAGTATTTGTTGTTGGTTTGGGGGGATATGCATTTCCATCCAGTATTTTATATAATAATAGGATTAAGTAATGAAACATATGGCTAAGTTACTTACAGTATTTCCAACTGCACAGGCTAAAGCGATAATTTGTTTGGCGATGAAGTATCCAGGAGCGGCTTTGCCACCGATCATAACAGTCCTCGGCGTGAAAGACGCGCTGGGGTCGCGCTTGATGCGGTTGTAAAGCGTGATCACGTGCAAAATATTCAGTAACTGACGTTTGTACTCGTGGATGCGCTTCACTTGGACATCGAACATCGACGCGGGATTAATTTTAACTCCGGTATCCCTTTCAATAAGGGCCGCCAGCTTGAGTTTATTCTCTTGCTTCACTTTCATAACGGCGCGCTGGAAAGCCGGGTCCTTAGCCCAGCGCTTCAGCTCCTTCAACTTCTCCAAATGGACGATCCAATCTTCTCCGATCTTGTCGCAGATGAGATCAGATAAGCCAGGGTTGCAGAGGAGCAACCAACGCCGGGGAGTGATGCCGTTAGTCTTATTTTGGAATTTATCAGGCCACATTTCGAAAAAGTCGCGGAAAATAGTGGCTTTTAAGATTTCGGAGTGAATGGCTGCTACACCATTGACAGCGTGAGAGCCGACAATAGATAAATTAGCCATATTGACGCGTTTTTCACCTTCTTCTTCAATCAAGGACATTCTGCGCAAACGATCCATGTCGCCGGGCCAACGCTTTTGCACCTCTTGCAAATGTAAAAAGTTGATATGGTAAATCAATTGCATATGTCTCGGCAGAACATTTTCCAGCATCGAGCATGGCCATCTTTCGAGAGCCTCAGGCAGGACTGTGTGGTTGGTGTATGCACAACATTTAACAACTAAGTCCCAAGCTTGTTCATAGGGAACCTTTTCAATGTCGACTAAGATTCTCAAAAATTCAGGTATAGCCAGAGCCGGATGAGTGTCATTTAATTGGATGGCTACTTTTTCAGGTAAATGTTCAAACGAAGTTCTAACGGCATCTCGGCATCCGAACTTAGATGCTTTGTACCGTCTGATAATATCCTGGAGCGTGGCAGCACACATGAAGTATTCTTGGCGCAAACGCAACTCTTTGCCTTCGAAGAAGTTGTCGTTGGGATACAAAACACGCGATATGTTTTCGGCAACGTTGCGATCCAATACAGCTTGAATATAATCACCAGAATTGACTGAAAAAAGATGGCTCATTGATATCATCTATATTATTATACAGAGTGAGTGATCAGAGGTCACAAAAAAAAATTACATACTTACAAAATTTAAGATTGAAATCAATGGGGCTCTTCGCCGACCACAGTCGCAATGTATTCACAACATTATTGTTATAACCAGGAATAGGGTTATCGTATGGCATTGCAAATACCACCTGCCAAAAATATTATTAATGGTCAGAGAAATCTAATATTTAATAGAATGAGTAGCACAAGTACACATAATTTAACAGTCTGAACTATTTTTCTAAAGAGGTCACATGATAATATAATATACTGAATAGTTTCTAATTAATATCATTTTATTTAGTAATTTTTAAGATAATCCTATTGACATTGTTTGGAGGTAATTACGTATTATGATAATGGGCTAGGGTATACTTTTTCAGTTTTTAAGTGCTTATCAGTAATTAATTATATATTGGACTAATCCAATATTGGTTTTGGTTCACTTTCGTGAACCCATTAACATGGGCCTCTTATCCATCAAGCTATGAATGTACCGAAACATCGCTTAGTAGTTGTCAAAATAAATTTTAAAGAGGCCTGAATTCCGGAATTAGAAATGGAACTGAATTTGTTTTCTAAAATATGATATAGAATGACAGAAAATATATAAATCTGCTCAAAAATGAACCTCCTAAATTTAATGATAGAGCAAGTGTCAATAATAGGGATGATTTATGGACATTTTTATTTACAAGCTTTAGTTGTGACAGCCTTTAGTGCAATAGAAGTGATAAGATGTTCCCACTTCAAATCTTCTTCAAGATCTGAATTGGTGCATTATTAACGACTACCATTGATTGATGTATTCTTAACTCATATAACAGCAAATATTGTTGCATATGAAATAGTATAAAGATACAAAACAAAAAGTAACCCTATGTTCTAAGTTTATAAATATTTAACCTGTGTATCAATCCATTTTTTTCCATCGGGTGTGTCAACTACACTACCATAGAAGTTAACTGGCAGCATGAACTCAGGTCTTGCCTTCTCCCAGGGGTTTCCGAAACGTAACCAATCATCAGGCTCTTCCTGTTGTTCTCCGTTTTCAATTTTTTGAGCAAATATACCATATTCGTACCTTATACCTATTAAAATACAAAATTTAATTAATTTTCCTACCTTCAACCTAATTTGAGATAAGGAATCAAACTTATGGAAGATTAGATTACATTTTTCTACATTTAGTAAATTTTTAAATTCATTTAATTATTTATAAGAACCTTCTACCTGGTGAATCTATGATTCGAATGATATACTAAATTGAAAGTTATGTTTGAGACCACAAGTACTTATGTTTAAATAGTTCAATTTAATTTGCATTTCAATGATTGGCGACAAGCCAGTATCCCGAGTACCCTGAAATTAGTTTGCACCAAGCTGAATTACTATTCATTTACAAGGCAAGAAACAGAACCAGTTTTATATCTGATAACATGAATTCTAAGATCTATTTTGTTTTTTTTCATGTCTCCAACTGCATTTTTTTTCTGATGTATTAACTATATTAAACAGCTTCACAATTTTTAATGTTGTGTAGCTGTGTAATGCAGGTCTATATGCTTCTCGATATGCATTTCTTAATGTAATAATAAAATAATTATAATACTACTTTACAAATTTCAACCCTTTATCCAAACAAATTAACATCATGCAAATTCCACTCCATTCTTGAGGTAGCTTTAATTGGTGTAAGGTCACTTTTGCTTCAATTTTTTATTTTTTTATTTTTGTTTTACTTAAATAATACACTAAACAATTTTCTTTTGTCAATAGTACACACCATATCCATACGCAGCAAGACCTAATGTCGCCATAGAGTCTAGGAAACAAGCTGCTAAGCGTCCAAGACCTCCATTTCCCAGACCAGCATCTTCCTCAAGTTCTTCTAATTCTTCAATATCCAGACCAAGTTGGTATAATGCTTCGTCAACAGTACCTTGGATGCCAAGGTTGATCATGGTATTTTGAAGAGAACGCCCCATATAGTACTCCAAGGACAAATAGTAGACTCTCTGTATAAACATTGTTTGAATGGTATGAAATTCTACAATTTTAACAACAGATATTTTTATTTTTGCCCTTGTATTGGTCAAGCACCTGTTGGTGAGTGGTTACTGTCGCTCCTGGATGTAAGCTATTCCAGGGGCAGAGGAAAGCCACTACTACTGAACACTGTCCAGAAGCATCATTTGAAGAAAGACATGTCGTAGCCCCCAGGACACACCAAGAAGGGAAATTCATTCCAAAGTTGCATAGCGCACAGAAAACATCTCTGGAAACCCACTGTGGATGTACTTTTGGATGTGGATGGATGGATGTTTCAGGTATTATGGATGACTATTCTGCACCAGTGGTAGGTGGAGTGATGGTAAAAATTAGGTAATAGGATCATCACAAACAATTCCCCAGAACACGCTCTATGGAACATATTGTACAAATAGAGAGAAAGCTGAAGTCCTACCATAGACCTTGAGGTTCCAAACAATAGACAAAGAGTTTCAAAATGGTGAGAAATAACTTCCATGATGAAACAGTGACATTATGTAGTAAGAATCAAAACTATATAAATTATAATTTGTGTACTGCAGAAGGGCATAATCTTGGTCCGCTCACATAAGTACAACTGACCTAATTACATCTGCTATGAAGCAGTCATATAGTCCAGTTTGGCATTTACATTGGGACATCGATGGGCACCAATATCTACTTAATACTAGGTGTGCTGTGAGCTCATTCACTATTCAACGCGATAAAACAATACCTGTTAATTCTTTTTGTTAACAAGTAAAATGAGGTTTTTTTTTCTTTTTTTTTTCTTTTTTGTGAGATGGTCACACGATAGTACGACTGGAGGATAAGACATTGTGACTCGAGGAAAAATTTCAAGATACATAACACATACTTCATACCTTAGGATCATTTTCATAATAGTATTGTTGAGTACGAATCCACCTGGAGACAAGATGATCTTTCACGGTGTGTGCGAGAGCAAAATAGTAATCCCGCGGGGTCGCAACATTTCGATCTTTCACTAAAGTGTAATGGACATGACGATTGAACGCCTTCTTTACTTCAGTCACATTTTCGACAGCAACAATTCCTCTGACAGATATCTGTTTACGCTTTTCCGCGTCAGTCTGTACGCTCATCTTGTTTAAGGAAATTTAAAGTAAAATAATCGCAAGCACCCGTCCGCTCACTGAGTCCTGTCGAATTTCACTAGTCACTAGCAACTCACAGCTTTCCTTTGATATCGGTCACCTTGAGAAGGTCAAATATATGAAGTAAAAAAACAGGTCGCATTGATTATTAGTTATTTTGACTGTGGCAAAAACAACTGTTTGTGTTGGTAGAGTCGAAAAATTGTCAGATTTTTTCTATTCGATGGAATTTAAGAATTTGTCTAAAATTCCTAAATGATTCGCTAAATTAAAATATTTAATTGGTGCGGGTAGTTGGGACATTTGAATTGGTGCATTTTGGTTTGACGTTGGACGTTTGTCGCAAGTAGAAATATGACAAATTTGACATTATCAGTGAATCGAAAAGTTCAATGGCTTAATCTGTGACTCTTAAATGTTCTTTTTATTTCATGGACTTTTTGGCGGGAACGCGAGGAGTGAAGTTGTGTGATTTGTTTTATTTTGTCTATTTAGTGTTTCTTCAGGTTTAAATGTGTAATAATGGTGGTTTATTAACTGTTTAATATCTGTGAAAGTGCACAAATGTGGGAAAATGAAACAAAGCTGCTGGACGTAACTTCTCGGGTTCCTCCAAAAAGTCCACTGAAAAAATCTCAGTAAATGACCACCATTTTACTGCGATTATATTTCATCCCATATCATCTCATTTCATTAAATTCATCCCAGTTGATTAATGTCTCAAATTAATCATCTTCATTTCATTTCACTCCATATTATCATTTTTCATAAAATTAAGAATATAAAGTAAAATAAGACATGACTTAAAGGTCTTAGTTACCAGGTCATAAAATCTCTTAAAAAAAAAAAAAAAATTTATTTCATGGGACTTTTTGGCGGGAACGCGAGGAGTGAAGTGGTGTGATTTGTTTTATTTTGTCTATTTAGTGTTTCTTTGGGTTTAAATGTGTAATAATGGTGGTTTATCAACTGTTTAATATCTGTGAAAGTGCACAGATGTGGGTAAATGAAACAAAGCTCCTGGACGTAACTTCTCGGGATCCTCCGAAAAGTCCACTGAAAAAATCTCAGTAAATGTCTACCATTTTACTGAAGTTATATTTCATCCCATATTATCTCATCTCATTTCATTTAATTTCATCCCAGTTGGTTAATGTCTCAAATTAATCATCTTCATTTCATTTCACTCTATAATATCATTTTTCAAGACATGGCTTAAAGGTCTCAGTAACTAGGTCATAAAATCCCTTAAAAAAATTATTTTTATTTCATACCTACATTACGTAGGTACGGTACCTAAAATATAACTCTTGGGCGGTCAACGGTCACTAGAACGCAGAACTCTGACCGCTCTCTGTGTGCGCGGGCTCTTAATCTGGCAATTACACAGGCAAGAATCATATAGCTTAAACATTTAATGCCGGTCACACATGCGCGCAAATATTCGTACATGTGAAGCGCGCATGTGAAGGGCTGTCATACATTCATTCGCAAACTTAGCGGCTGTGCAAATGGGTTCGGTACTCAATTTGCGAACCCGTTTGCGCTTCCTCCCACACTTGTTTACGAATGTCTCACGAATTTCTCTTCTTTTTTAATTCACCAATCGCACATTGAAGAGAAAGGGAGTTTTTAATTCTTTCCCAGGCGTCCCTTGGCTGTTAACCATTCTGTTTTTATGGGATTTCTTTTGAGGGTCCCATATGGTCGATTCATTTTGCAGGAGTTCAATGAACTCCATCACCTTAGTGTTGTTCCAATCCATGATTAAGGTACGCTACACAGTAGACGTCACGAATTATGAAAATGGCGAAACATCCGTTACCTTCGCAATCGTGGGCGCAACTGGTCACACGAATGTGTGGGAGACTACACGAATAATCGCGGTTCGCGTGCTTTGATGTCCGTTGAAAAACCGACACAGCTTGAAAAACACGATTGCGCGAAAACTTTGCATAGGTAATCATTTGCAAATGTCGTCCTACACTTGCGGGTTTGCGTATTCGTGCGAATATGAGTACGGTATAAAGCTATGGTCACAAAAGAACTTGTCCGTTAAACCAAAAATAAAATGGAACGCAATTAGGTAACATTCGGGAATGAAAATTAATGAAATTACCTAAATACATTTTTCTTTCTTGAAAAGCGTGACAGAACGCTCTTCACTCATAAAAAAAATCAGTAGGTACCTACATCAATCACCCATTGTTTGGATTTTGGTAAAATTATAGACTACCAAACAAATTATATAGGTTTTATCTTCATCGTTTTACCGTAGATCTGCGACTGATGCTTACTGATGTTAAGTTTCTGATCTTTTTGATAGGCAAGGGGCTTACTGATAACAGATTTAAAAAATATATTGAAATACATGTATTGATTGACTAACTGAACCATTTTTATTTTATTTATACTGGTTCTTCAGGTGTTTTTTAAAAGTTAATCGGACGTCTTGATGTTTCTTGAAAATCACATTGAAACATTTCGTGAAATAGATTTAAACTACCTAATACAATTGTTTTAAAAATCATTGCAACATGCTCCTTTCGACTGATTTGGACGTTTTATTTATTTATTTTCATTCTTAGTTATTACAACAAGATTTGAGTTGGGAAACATTATTGGAAAAGTCACTGGATGACTGAGTTCTAATAATACTAAGTCAATAAATTTATGGCAGGCCCACTGCAACTCGTCTACACATACGATGAAGCTAAAACCTTTAAAACCTTTAAAGGCAGCAGGTAAGCAAAAAAAAGGCATAAAAATAAAATATTATTATACAGTCTTTATTAACGATTGTATTTTGAAATAAAGCATATTGTTATCCTTTAATTTTTTCATTAGTATTATTTAATGTGTAAACAATAAATATGTTACTTAATATTAAATTACATTTAAAAAAAACTAAATTTTTCGAGGCATAGGTCATAATTTATTTAAAATCCAGTAATTAATTTACAAAGTACCTACGATCAGTCATGGTTCTCTTCTTTATATTTTATTATTATTAGAAATAACAAAATGTAATTGATACGGTCTTAATTGCTGAATTTTATTTACAGAATTCGAAGCCACTGTTCTCCAAATTACAGCGCGTTATATGAAATATTATTAAAACTACTGTAATTTTTGTTTTAGATATTTTTCAGTCTCTTATCGGTGTGCTGGTAGCCGGACATAGAAAGATTCTCTGCGGGTAGAGGTCGCCCCTGACGCGCAGTGCCTTCACGCCTCCTGGTGAAGCGCGATGCTCTAACTCGCCGATTAGCATATCGTCAGCGTATATAGACCATTCAGTCGGACCGCGGACAATTCGAAATGTAGTCTGGAAAAATAACGAACGAATTGTAAGTACCTATAATAAAATGAACAACTCAGCCGTTTTAATCATGTTTTGACATTTCTATATTTTTTTTACATTCTAATTTAATACAGATTTTCTATATTAATTTAGTGCGATTGCCCCCGCTTAATTATCAAATTGCTGCCTTGTGGGGCTTGGGCCCCAGGTTGGAAAGCACAGCGTTATATATTAAAAAGTTTACACTGTAGAGCCGCCCGTCTGAAAGTGGTCGAAATTGCTTTGACATCGTAAGTATCAACGATATAGTATCGAGTATCGGCGACATAGTATCGAGTATCGACGATATAGTATCGAGTAGCGACGATATAGTATCGAATATCGACGATATAGTATCGAATATCGACGATATAGTATCGTGTATCGACGATATAGTATCAAGTATCGACGATATAGTATCAAGTATCGACGATATAGTATCAAGTATCGACGATACTCATTATGAATCCAAAATGAGTATCATCTGATAATGGATGAATAGCTGTTGAAGTTGAAACGCACCAATGTTCCAGGAATAAGTCTGGCGGTGCGTTGTCTCCTCTCCATGCCCCAAGCACCGAGCCAGGCGTTGAGCACGACAAGTTGCCGATCCCGTTGCGACTCTACGTGCGCTCGGACGTTGACGTGTAGATGAATGTTCGGCAGCGGCCACTCGCGGGCGCCGTCCATGAGGTCGATCGCGAAAGAATGTAGCATTGGTCGGAGCCTGTTATTAATGCCGACTAATAAAAATTTGTTCAGTACCCTGTGCTTGCGTTAGTTTTTTTTTCTTTTTTTTTTGGCCAGTGATCATACACGTGCGGCCTGTTTGGAACTCGGTAGCCGAGGATAGTAGAAAATAACCTTCATAAAGAGCGTTGATCGCCTAACATCAGGCGTATTAATATGACCGTTCGATTTCGATACTGGTGGTAGGGACCTCTTGTGAATCCGCACGGGTAGGTACCACCACCCTGCCTATTTCTGCCGTGAAGCAGTAATGCGTTTCGGCTTGAAGAGTGGGGTAGCCATTGTAACTATACTTGAGACCTTAGAACTTATATCTCAAGGTGGGTGGCGCATTTACGTTGTAGATGTCTATGGCAACTCATACAATAAAATTGGATCGTCCTCTTACAGTCTGTTAAAAAATTACAGTTCTACGAATGAAAATTTAAACTTTCATTTAAATTTTAACAATACTTGTTCTAAATGAAATACAATTTAATTCTTTTACAGTATAAATAAGCACAATGTGAAAATAAGTGTTTGTGAAAGATTTTTTTCTAACGTTATTATACTTTTGGTTTTTATTGTCCTATTTCGCTCAAAAGCGATTGATATTATTACATTTAAAGCTACTTATTCGCGCTTCCCTCACTCGCGTTTTCACTATTCGCGGATTAAAAAAGTGCGACCCAATTCCTACATTTGCGGCAAATTTTTTCTTCTTTCGCGAATCTAATCGGCACATCACATACACATTGATAAATAGGATTCCAATATGTACATATGTAGGTATCCAACCGAATAGCTTTTGTAAACGCATTTTCCATATTTACCGTTCCTGTATTCGTGGCATATTAACGGAAAATATACCCCGCTAATAAAGACCTTTTTTCCTCAATTAGTAGTAGTTTATTTAAAAATTTAAAAACAGTTAAATTGTTTTTTTATGACTATCGGTATTCTACGAACTTTCGGCCTGGTAGGAGAAAAAATAGTATGTGCACCGCGGGAATAAAGTAGGACATCTCATCCTGCGTGTTTGCCAATTTGTTTGGCAATTTTACACGCGGGAAGAAATGTCCTACTTTTCTTCCTTGGTGCACAATGTACTATTACTGTATTTTATACCATTCTGTAGTAACGAACCTTCCAGTGATAACAAGTTGATAACCTTCAGGTACTCCTTTCGTTATCGTAGCTATGAGATTTGGTTTCCAAACTGGTTGCTCTGTTTCTGGAGGATTATCTATGCTGGTTGTTAGAGAGATCTGTAAAAGATAAAAATAAAGATAAAAATATATGTATATGTATCGAAGTAGTATGACGTGTGTTAATTTCTGATTTTCGCTAAAGCCTAACTTACCACAGATAAAAATCACTACAATTACTAAAGATGACGACTGAAACCTTGAGGTTTACTAATTTTACCGATGATAGGTTGTCTTGTGAGTTCGCACGAGTAGGTGGTGGTACCCTGCCTATTTCTGTAATTTCAGTAATGGGTTTCGGTTTGAAAGGTAGGGCAGCCGTTATACTTAAACTTAGAACTCGTGTATCGGAGTGGGTGACGGCGTGTAATTTATTAATGTTTATAGACTCTGGCAACTTAACATTACGCCACGAGCTCGTACTGTAATAAAAAAGCAATAATTTAACGCTTTTTGTGCCCCGACAGCCTTCAGTTAGAAATATATACATATTAACCCTTTGTTTCTTAGAGCACACTAAACAATATATTAAAAACTGATATGCAATCAATTGTATTCTCATGGAAATATTACTCGATTTGGCCGAAATAAGCTCCAAAGCATCGCGCCGTCCTAAGTATTTTAGTTATTAATTTTATACTTATATTATTATTTATTATATTATTTTATTATATGCTAGAGGAAGTCTGAAAGTGGCAGCTGTGACAGAGAAGCTGAGAAGTGCGCGTTTGGGATGGTATGGACATGTGATGAGACGAAATGAAAATCAGGTTGGTAAGAGAATGTTAACTATGAATATGGAAGGATATAGCGGAAGAGGTAGTCCTACGAAGAAATCGATGGATTGCCTGAAAAATGATATGGCTAAGACGGGAGTGAGCGAAGAAATGGTATATGATAGAAGAGTATGGAAAGAGAAAACATGTTGCGCCGACCCCAGGTGACTGGGAGAAGGGCAGGATAATGATGATTATTTTATTATATTATATACACATAAGTGTTAAAGTTAGCAGATAAGTTATAACTTTATTTACCCACCTCCGGCCTTTCGGGTGCTAATGTTGGATAATTGTCAGTTTTAGATATTTTCAAGAATGCGTCTCGGATTCCTGTGACTTCGATCCAGCGAGCTGTAAAGGGACTCGGATTCCTGTGCACGTAACTGCAGTAGTGGTCTCCGTCAACAGCCCATAGTGTTTCAGTTTCATCTACTACTATTTCTATCGTAAATTGCTTGTTCACTTTGAACGGGTATAGCCTGCACAAGTAACCAACATATTTTAATTTAAGTAAGTGCTTTGTAAAATTCTGCGTAATGTGATTTGGTTTTTTTCCATTACTTTCATGACAAATGCCTCTAGGATTGTTTGGAAACTCCGAGTCTTCGGAGAGACTACGGTTCTCTTATTATTTGGTATCGTTCTACGGGACGAGCTCTGAGGAATTATTTAGGGTGATTCCGGCGTGATATTTTTATTGCACTGTTCGCCACCGTAACAAAACTCAGTTATAATGCTTAGAACGTGAACAAGATTTAGCCTACACAAATGGTATAGTAAAAAGAGAAACATGATACTTCTAACAGTAAGTATCTCGGCGTACCACAATCATCTGCATAATATGTGTTCGATGATGTATTACCGAACACTTTTAACAGGATAATTCGCGTGACGCGTTAACTTTATTTCCACAAATCGTCAGTGCACAATCAACAGCCGCGTCACCCGGGTTCAGTCATAACATTAAACATTTTTAAGCATAATAATCTTTGAACAACAAACTCACACTGCACCCTACAACATGTCTGCAGCCGAAAGACATGACATTGTAATGCAGATGAAATAAGGTTCATGAAAAAATTATCTTATCTTGCAGATTTTCGAAATTTAAAATAATCGATTATGAATATGGCTTGTAGAAATCTGTTGTACCTAATCTAATAAAATCTGAAAGTCTATGACGCAATCGATGTCGATATCGAATCATGTACGATAAAAATAAATTCATTAATTAGTGTTAGGTACCTGTNATGACATTGTAATGCAGATGAAATAAGGTTCATGAAAAAATTATCTTATCTTGCAGATTTTCGAAATTTAAAATAATCGATTATGAATATGGCTTGTAGAAATCTGTTGTACCTAATCTAATAAAATCTGAAAGTCTATGACGCAATCGATGTCGATATCGAATCATGTACGATAAAAATAAATTCATTAATTAGTGTTAGGTACCTGTATGCCGTTGTTTCTTCAGGACCCCATTTCCCGCGGCGACGTGTGTTCCTCACTACGTAACACTGTGGTTGTCGCACATTAAAATGCACAGAGATGTCCGAACGACCCGCCTCTAATTCTTCACTTCCTATGTTTATTGCGAACCTAATAAATTTACTATCATTCAGTACTTATAGTACAAAACCTGCTCAAACTTAAGAAAGTAATGAAAGCGGATAAATCTGTATGAAAGAGCATATTTCATTTGACAGTTTCTCGTAAATCAATCTAAACTTACTTTACTTACTAATATTATAAAGCGGAAGAGTTTGTTTGTTTGAACGCGCTAATCTCAGGAACTACTGGTCCGATTTGAAAAATTCTTTCAGTGTTAGATAGCCCATTTATTGAGGAAGGCTATATAACATTACGGTAAGATCAATACAAATGCAGCACCAATAAAAAATGTTTCAAAATTGGGTTTAAATAGCTTCCTTAACATTCTAATATATAATTAAAAAATATTTTCACTTTCTACGTAAATGAAGTGGGGGGGTAAAATTTAGCGTTATGCCAAAGTTACTAATCCATGCGGACGGAGTAGCGGGCAAAAGCTTGTATGTAATAAGTGACAGTTTTTTTTTTACCATGGTATGTCTTCGCTCGGCGTTCCAGTACAAATAATATGCGAGCCGATAGTCAAGGGCTCTGACAAGGTTTGCGTAAAATTTACGTCCTGAGATTCCGCCAATTGGCACTGCAACAAGAAGTATCGTAAATAATGTTAGATGGGCACCATAGAATAATAAAATTTATTATATTAACTTACACCAGACTCCCTTTGTAGTCTGGTTTAAGTTAATAAATTATTGCTATTGTCTATAGACGACGCTATCAAATTAATTTTACATTCCGAATGTATATTTTTAGAAAGGTCCTCCGTCTTCCCCGTTGTTAAATAGTTACCGTAGTTTAACAAAGTAACAAAGTGTGAATGCTGTCGTCTAGTTTAATAAGACAACAGTGTACTTAGTGCGAGTGTTCTAACGTCCTCGATAGCGTAAAAGTTAACACAAATTTGTATGGAGTTGGAATGTTTGCCTACGTTTGCCACTAAGCACACATGTCGTTTCGGTTGGAGAGCGTAAAACAGCTTTAAAACGACAGAAGCAGAAACATTTATGTAAGAACATATATTACGATTGATGGTAATGAATGCACTCGTTCGTAATAATAATAATCTATCTATATATAAAAAAATGAATTGCTGTTCGTTAGTCTCGCTAAAACTCGAGAACGGCTGGACCGATTTGGCTAATTTTGGTCTTGAATTATTCGTGAGTCCAGAGAAGGTTTAAAAGTTTAGATAAATATGAAAATGTTCGGAATTAAATAAAAATAACAATTTTGTTTTTCCTTTGATGTGTCCCCTGTCGGACGGTTTCCTTTTGTTTGTTTTAAGTTTATTTTATACATTATTGATTGAGGCACTACGAAGTTTTTTTTTTATGATGGAAAGATTACTGGTGGCCCGGAGGCCTTTCCAGCTTCACCAGGACAGGTGGGCGAGCAAAGGCTCAGCCAGGAGGGGTGGGATTTGCTAACTGCCCGAGCGCCTCCGAAGGAGACCTAACAACTCAAGAGCAATTGCTTCGCGAATGAATCTACTACCGGATCGGAATCGCGACCCACTGAGAAGATCCGGTGAGAAATTCAGCGGGCTGATGCATGGGTTAGGTTGCACGTCGGCCTCTTTGTCGAGTTCGACGAGTACGGTTACCGGGGTTCCTCAGCCTGCTCCTAGTGTTAGAGCTGAAGGTATCTAATGCAAGAGTTATCAGATCTGATGGATCCGCAAGGACGTGTCTAGGGCGACGACGGTGACTTGCTCCTGCGTGATCAGGATTCGAGTACGCACTACGAAGTCTGTCGGGTCAGCTAGTATGTAATAATTTTCAAGAGACCACAACTCCCGGATTCTGGTTCGACTTACAAAACTATGTTAGATTTTATGTAAAACCGTTAATACATACATATATGATAATGATAATTACAACTGGATTTATAAGTATGATAGCAATAATACTTATATACGGCTTAGTATAATTATAACTCAGGCAAGTAGTTTCGTATCGGTTGGTCGAAAGAACCTTAAAACTTACCTACAATCAGCCAAAAATATTATCTAATCATTATTCTTTAATTAACGTAAATTCTTTGAACGATAGAAAATTTACAATCTAGTTCATTACGATAGTAACAGCCTTGAGTTTCAGTGAAACGTTTGCTAGTTCAAATCGTGTGACGGATGGAGCGTGGTGTTTCAATATCGAAAAAGATTACTGCCTCTAATCCTAAGGTGAAAAGTACACTATTCCCCACATTTTCTGCATCTCATTACACTTACAATCATAAAATAGTAACATAAATTAATTTACTCAAACTACATCAAAATTTCATAGATATAAAATAAGGGTAGTATTTAATCCTACAACTGTAAACGCGATTTTTCCTATTCAAATATTCGACAATTACCACCAAAAATACTGAATTGCACACTAAATTTGCTCATCAAATAAATCAAATCTAATATACTGTTTGATCTTTAAAGTTAAACTGTTTTACTGAATGACTATTTGTTAACTAAAAGTAAAACTAATAATTCTGTATGTGCAACAAAATATCTAATTTTTTTTTTAAATCCGTCACCTATTAAAATGTTAAGAACATGAGTTATTCTAAATGAAACACCAGTTAATCGCTCATGTTTATCCAATTAAAGTGCACAAAAAATCAACTAAGTGCAATCTTAATATACACTAACAATTGAAAAACAGTAAGGTAACTCAGTTTTTTTTTTATCTTTTTAATTACGACATAAAATAAATCTTCTTAATGTATGATTAGAGCAGGTTTTGCTTTTGTTGGACGTCCGCGTTTTCGTTTTATGCCGATGGGTATGTTTTTAGTTTCTACAGGTGTTGTCACATATTTCAACCTGTTATCAAGTCCGATGAAATGTTTGCAAATGTAGTGTTTGAAAAAATACGGACAATTTCAGTCACCATTATTCCATTGATCTATGTTTATGGGCAGTACAACCGTCCAATATGCGAAAGCAGCTTGTTTATATTCGTCGAAAGAACTCCAGTCTTATCCAAACTGAACGGTTAATGCTCCTGAACTTGCAATCAAGTAGGTCTTTTTAACGGAATCTGACTTTAAGACCACTACTTTTCGGTCTGACTTCGCCCATTGGTAGCCCGCGGTGCAATCTTTGAGCTCCATCGAAGGAGAGTTTGAAAATGATTTCAATTGATAGGTTTCTGACCATTCTTTCACCATATCTAAGACAAAAACAAAAATCTGGATAATGGAAAACGTTCTCGAAGAGTGTGGGAATCTTTAATAGATCTGTTAAATGACTCAAGAGAATTATTTGTAACAGGAGATCCTTTTGAAGAGCCAAGATACCAATTCGGATTTTAACATACCCACTCTTTTTTGAAGTAAATTATGAAGTCTCTTTGGTCGGTATACTTTATCAGAAAAGCTGCTAATGCAGACTTGAACATATCTGGAGATGTAGCAGTGTGTAACACATCAATATCCTGTATGTAATAAAGTTTTCTCCTTTTTTTGCTTTTAATTTTGTCTACATTGGTCATAATAATTTTTTTTGCATGGGCCCAGCACATTTTTACAGTACATTTTTCACCAAATACTTCTTTAAATGCATTTTTATGCTCATAGCCGCGTCGCAAATTAATGCTTTTGGTTATAAAGAGTATGTGTAAAGGGATAAAGCGCTGTTGCGAAGAGCTTCAAACAACATTTGGAAATCTTGTTTTCGTTCAGAAGTTCAAAAGAACGAAAGAGGTTCAGAAGAACAAAAAGAAATAAAGTTGGGTGCTTGGGATTTTAGCTACACGAGTAGTAAATTCGTGGAATGTAATTTGATAATGTAAACATCATTATTTGTTATGCAGTTTTAGAAAATGATTTTGGAAATTCCGATGTAAGATGGTTAATTTAGGGTGCAAATCAGTATTTTTGTTATAAGTACGGTGAGTAATTTTGTCTTAAAATCTACATATTAGTGGTTTCAGCTAGATTTTCGTTGTTTGTCGTAAATTAGATAAAAAAGGCCATCTGATTTTGATTCATTTTATACGTGCTTTAATAAAATATGTTTAGGTAATCAAGTAGTTAACTTGTTACGCTGTCATTTATCTGATATGCAGTGGATTATTAGTTGGGAGATTTAGTTTGCTTGAATTTTAAATAGAGGAGCAATTCAAAATTCCCCATAAAATAATAATTAACTGTGTATTTCCTTTATTAAATAATTATCAAACTAATCACGAGTTCATTACCATTAACGTGTAACCTCTGAATCACTTCCAGCAAACAGTATGAGATCATCAAACCACGACTTGCTTTAATTGGTGCCATGGCCAGTCTATAACTATCTATAAGACGGTTCTGCAACGTGTGAAGAATAAAAAAATCTCAGGCCACTGAGTCACATTAGTAAAAAGACCAGTGTAAACATATAACATATGATATGAAATTAAAATATGTCAAACTGAAATACTGGTAACAGTAAATCGTATTATTTTTATTGAGTTTGGAGCCATGTTGGAGCCCATAAATGCCGTGAGTACTTTATCCCGACCCTAAAAGTATTAGATAAAATGGTGTTTTAACAAGATTTGAGAATTTCACTGTCAGTCAACAAAAGCACTGTTAAAATTAGTTTAGCCGCTTTGGAGATTAATCAGCACAAACAGAATAAAAAGAATGTTTTGTTTTAATTCCGGTGTAAATTGAGATTAAATAATCCAAAGCCACAGTAGGACACTTTAAATAATGTTCGTTTGTAAATATTGCATAATATAGATACCTACTAGTTTATGTGGCTATAAACAACATACAACACATAATATTTACTTACTTACTTTTTCAAAAATCACATTGACAAGCTTAGTTTAACAAATACTAAGTATCGCATGTCTAAATTAATCGATAAGACCGAACCCAAGATTGCGTGCAAGTAAGTAGGTTTATGGGCAGTGAATAAAAATAGTAAGGGACAAGGGTACTCACGGAGTTAAATTGTACTTACTTTATCAAGTAACTCCTCAAAATGAACGTATTAATAGTACTGGTAGATATTAGAGCAGGCTGTCATTGAAATTTGGTTTTATAGAAGACTAGCCGTACTCGCCCGCTTCGCTGCGCATTTAAACTTAACATTATTATTTATTGTCATTATTATTAGGGAGTTCAACACTCATATAAATATTAGCCTATCATTACATGTATTTTCTACATGGATACCGAGTTTCAAGTCAATCGGATGCATGGTTCACTTGTTATAACGGAACATCCGTAAAAACCACTGTAGATTTATATATTAGTATAGATGATAATTTAAGGGGTCCAGAAAACGACTCTTCTGAAGTCTACGCGAGCATCCGAGCCCGCTCGGGACAGAATCGAGGCAGGTAGGTTTAGGAGGCAAACGCGATTAGCATTGCAACCAGACGCGAGGCTATCCCAAGAGCCTGACCGACGAAGTAGCCGATAAAAACGACTCCACGGCTATACTTTAGGCTCTCCCAGTGGCGCCGCTGCTGTTCTAGGATATCTGAATTAAACGTCGTATACCACCAACCGGTCGCTCTTTACTATCAATTTTGCGCTGCGATGCCTCTACTTCACAAGTCGCTCCGAACCGGATCATCAAGAGAGGGCTACCTCTTGCAGAAGCAGGAACTATTGAGTAAGCCTCGGTCTAACAGTATCGAATCAAGGGGAGAGGCGAATTATCTGCCTCCCGCTCATGCCACCCCTTTCTGCGACAAATACGTTACGTAAACGTACTATAAAAATATACCCTATAATAATAATCCCCTAATATAATAATTCCTCCAGTACTTTTACTGGAGGAATTATTAAAGTCGCTTACACAGAGGAAATTAGAAAACTTGGTGGTCTCAGTATTATACGGTCAAGATTCGCAACTACGAAAATATGTACGTCCAGTGTACAGTTTAATTTCAAGCTGTATCCTAATAATGAATGCGCTCTACCACACTCAAGAGACTTGCGAAACGAAGCAGAGAAAATGCGGGATACAAAAGCGACACAATTTAGAATTAATTTCCACTTTATAAATATAAAAATGTGTCACACATATATTTAACAAAATTATCAAATGGCCGGGGCTTTCATCTATCTACATATTATATTACTTTGTCTGTGTCTATATTACTTTTCATATTACTTCAAAGTTTAATATCTATCAAAGCCTTTGCATTGGCGTTGCGAGGGTTGACGAAATTTTAAACTAGGTACTGAAATGTTGTACATATTTATGCTTGTCTTAGCAAATGAATGTTGTTTTTATTATTTTACGTTATGGTAGCAAAGTATTATTATTGCTTACTAATCATTATGTAGGTACATAGTAGATGTTCTAAGATAATCCTATAGGTACACGTGTAGGTAGTCGTTCCTCATTTGCTACGTATATATAGACCTACAGTGCCTTTATATTAACTGTCTGCCCTAAGCGATCAATATATAACGTCTGAGTGGCTGAGCACTGAGCTGGATTGTGATAGCTAATGAATCTACATCTAAGGGGAACTAGATGGTTGATTATTTATGTCTTCAAGTAAATAAGCCACATAAAATATCTAATAAAGAGGCAAAACTTTTCACTGAAAAATTGGTATAGGTAAATGTATGTATAAAATAGAATGGAAGTGATAGATGAAAATAATTGACCTTAAATAATTTCTAGATTATAAGTAATAACCTACATTTTAATAATAGAGAATTATCTTTATTTGTTAAGAGTTAAGATTTCTTATCTCTGTATATCTTTACTTTAGAAGAAAAAAAAAACAGCACCGATTGTAGAAATCGGGTACCTACTCATAATATCACCTACTTACTGATTTTCAAGGTAAGCGCAGAAATAAACTACAATCAGCTTTTATAATTTTTTCCTTACCATTTTGTAGGTATAATAATTTAATCGAATCATCATATTTCAGCAAACAGAATGCCGTTGTATCTAATAATTTTTATTATAACATTATTCACTGCCGATATTCAATAAATAAAAAATTGAATTGACACGTACGTATCATTAGTCATAAACATTAAAATGTAATCATTCTTTCAAGAGTAATTTTAGCTTCTGTTTGATGTAATCATTATTTTTACCAATGTGAAAGGCATTTCTTCATGGTCACTGTCGGGTGGAGGCTGTTTTTCACGGCAAAATAAACGTCTACATAATGCACCACAACCGCACTTGCCTTGGCAGACCATAGCGATTGTTTACAAAGTTGCGTCGGTAATAGCACGGTGTTATAAAATGACAGACGAGCCTGTTTATCGCGGAACGGTTGTCACACCAACTAAAATATCCGTGAGCACGCCACGCCACCACCGCCGCCGTCTTGCATGTTTGGCGTATGCCCTCGGTCGACCACTACAAAAACTAGCGCAGCGATAAACTAACACGAACTAACATCTATTAGTGTTATTTAATACGTCTTGGTGTCGGTTTTAAATAAGTGTAAAATAGTGTATGTAAATATTAACTTATCGTAGTAGCTAAATACTAAGCTTTGTACCTATGTAGGTCAGGTAGTGTATGTTTGATTATTTTTATGAACCGTTATTAGGCGGGATTTATCCTGTCTATTGAGACGGTGAGGTGGCAGTGCTATGTGATACTGCATTATTATCAGCGATAATAATATATTGCGGTTCAACACGTTTTACATGAATGCAAGGATGATTGTATTAACAGTTGTAAACAAACGTTTGTACAAACAGCGTATGTGATTTAGCAAAGAATCGAGTTGATGTCTATCTGAATATTTCTAGTGTAAACAAGCAATTGCCTAAATTTTTGTACGTAATTCTTAGAGTACTGATAGTGATAGTGAAATGGGCACGAAAAGCTAATTTAATTTGCCATGTTCGTAAACTCAATATAACATGAACAAACTTACTATGTCAAATGCATAGTTATTACACATAATATTTTTTAATATTAACGAACAGTATTAAATTAGTATTTAAGAATATGGCTATAGTTTAGGGATAGGCGATAAAACTTTTAATAATGGTAAATTTAAACGAAATAAATTTATATGATAAATTCATTATTTTCATTTATTGCTATGTAACATGATTTTATTTAAGGCTACCAGTACATACGAACGTACACTACTACTAAACTACAGATAATTAAGTAAAAAAACTTGTAATTCGCGCTGACAGTGACCGCCTACCATAAATAATTAAATAAGATAGAAGTGACGAGTGAGTAGATCGTAGATCTACATTTCAAGTAGGTAGTAGGAATTAGAAATGTCAGTCGCTAAACTTCAACAAATTAATAACTATTTAAATCTAAATATGAAAAAATGAAAAAGTTTCATATTTTTGTCAAAGTTTCTAATATGAAACAATTTGTTGTTTTTTTGAATTTTCAACAATACCTATCTTATTTGTGAGTATTATTATTCGTACTAACCTCAAAATCCATTGCGTCCTCTGCGAAATCGTATTCTAAAAGATCCCTAGGGATTTTACCTTCTACAACGTCGTAATCCATTTTACTAACACAATTAAGGCATTTCATTATTTTTTTTGCAAAATTTTTCGATTTCTTCAAATGTGTATTAGAGGGATTAAAAAACTGCTGGTTCTTGACATTTTGTCATAAAATCAATAACTAGGACTTACTCAGAACCTACATAAGTTTCACAGACACAAAACACTGTCACTGTAATGACAAACCCACTTATTTAATTAATAACGTGGCAAAACAAAGTAAATACTAAACTGACCTACGTCTCATACAAACGATGTTTCAAAAAACCAGTTTCAATTGACAATTTACATCCCTTTCACACTATTGGGTTCAGTAGCATGGTGGAAAGAAATAGACATCGTAAACATAAACTCTGCTTATACTGGTGGATAGAATCGGGGTATTTATTATGTTATCGGCATTCCGAAGAGTTCAGCACATTAATTCATATGTACATATAGGTATACGTAGCCGAAAGATAAGTAGTAATACAGATATTGCAAGATTCTTCGAAGCATGTTATTGAATTATAGATAGTAATAACCAGTTATAAAGTTTGTTCTATTTTGAAGGAAATAAAATAAAAACTTTTGACATGCCCAGCAGAACACGAATAATCGATACTAATACTATAATTATATAAATCTACAGTGGTTTTTACGGATGTTCCGTTATAACTACTGAACCATGCATCCGATTGACTTGAAACTTGGTATCCATGTAAAAAAACTTAATGGTTAGGCTAATATTTGTATGAGTGTTGGACTCCCTAATAATAATGACAATAAATAATAATGTTAATTTTAAATGCCCAGCGAAGCGGGCGAGTACGGCTAGTTTCTTAATATTATTACTAAACATTTAACGAAGATACTGGCTCCGAACGAACATGGATATGTGGAACTAGTGGATTGGAAATTCACTTACTACAAGAGGAAATGCTATCAAAATTATTGTTAGATTTAATAGTTTTATTCCAATTTAGTATTTATTTTTATTTACTAGTGGTCACCTAATATTTTATTTATTGCGTAAATGGATGAACACGACGTATGTACCTGGCGACAATTTTAGACTTCATTCATTAGAGTGAATGCAGTACCCACCTTGAGACATGAGAGCGAAGTTTTAATTGTATTTTAAAATAATTGTTTATAAAATAGAGATGACCCAGTCATATCCTTTTCAAGATCCTGGAGTCATTGCGTTTGCCCAGTGAGTTTCATGAATATCTTTTGCCACGTACTCTGCTGTTCTGGAGTCTTCAGCGCTAGACATGCGTATGCGTATGAAATAAAAAAAAAGATCTGCTCTGCTAATATAAACCGAAACAAAATTTTGTAAACCTATAGAGTAGGTACGATAATATACCCAATAGAGCCCCGCAGCAGTGGTCTGTCTCTAGAAATTCACACTGTAGACTTGTTAAGGCAAAATACGTTCGTTGTAGTTTGTTTGGTTCGAGTTTTATTCGATTCGGTATTTCGGTATTACACTTCTACAATTTAATTTCATAGAATTATTTAGGGTTATCACTAATTAGGTATAACAAAAACTTCCAATAAAACAACCATACGGACACCATATTTTATTCGTTTTGTGGGATATTCCAATAAAATAAGTACATAATTTATTTCTCTTCGACACGTCGTTTCATCTGAAAATACAATCACAGTACAGTAAATAAACGGGATTCTGGTAACGTATTTTTATTGAAGTTTTAAGTAGGTAAGGGTCTCCGTTGGTACCAGATGTGGATGGTGCAGTCTGGCGTGTTGCAGCATCTTGGCCCGCGTGGCATACTGTCGCGGGCAGAACGAGCACTGGGCCGGCTCGTACACGCGGACGCCGCCTTCTATTGACTGCGCTGGAATTTTTTCAGCGCCTGCATATCCGTTTAAACTGGCTTCTTTATTGGCACTTAATAAAAATCTTGTTTTTTTATTGCTTAAATGGGTGGACGAGCTCACAGTCTACCTGGTGTTAAGTGGTTACTGGAGCCCGTAGATATCTACGACGTAAATGCGCCACCTACCTTGAGATATAAGATCTAAGGTCTCAAGTATAATTACAACGGCTGCCCCACCCTTCAAACCGAAACGCATTACTGCTTCACGGCAGAAATAGGCAGGTCAACACGAAACGAAAAGGTTTAATTAGAAAACACTCAGTGATGTGATGGTTATATAGAACAACGTTGAGGATATCTTAGACAAACATATTCATGTCAAATCAACTCCGGAGCACGTCTAGATTTCCCACCACCTGTCTTAAATGAATATATCCACGTAAACTCGAAAATTTTGGCCACATTGATACGGACAAAAAACCACGGTCGATGGCAAGATGTTCCAGCTCGACACATAGGTCCGATGGTGATATCATTGGACACCTTACAGAGTACAGGGGATGATGCAGCATAATTATTAAGAAGAAGCTTCTGTAAGGCGGTTGTCATGATACTCGGATATGAGGAATACGTCTTAAAGAGGACGAAGTCATTTCAGCAGTTTATCTATTGTGCTGTTTGTAATAAAACCGTAGTGCTAGTACTCTGAGTGCCGTAAACGCTAATAGGCGAATAGTGGGTAGACCTCCAACTAGGAGGACGGACGACCTCGACCTGTTAAAGATGGCGGGAATCCACTGTATGCGGACTACGCAGGACCGGTCATTATGGCGAACATTCGGAGAGGTTCAGGTTTGAGCCCCGTGAGCTCACCTACTAGTTAAGGTTACGCTGAAATAGCCTCTCAAGGCTCTCAGCTAGGTAGGAAAAAAAATCGGAGTGGCCTAAATCCAGCAGACTTCTGTGGGCGTCATCACGATGAAACGCTCCTAATGGTGTTTCATTCAATCGTTAATAACATTATTATTAGATGTACATTTCTTTATGAAAATACCGAGGGTTTTTTCATTTAATATATACCTAATATGTACAGTTCGTATTACTAATTATACCAAAGAGGGGATTAGAAGACTTATGAAAATGAATCAGGGTCACCTNATCCAGCAGACTTCTGTGGGCGTCATCACGATGAAACGCTCCTAATGGTGTTTCATTCAATCGTTAATAACATTATTATTAGATGTACATTTCTTTATGAAAATACCGAGGGTTTTTTCATTTAATATATACCTAATATGTACAGTTCGTATTACTAATTATACCAAAGAGGGGATTAGAAGACTTATGAAAATGAATCAGGGTCACCTGTAAAGAAAAAAACTATTTTCACAAATCACGCTAGCAGTTGTCGATGATGATGCGTGTTGTTTCAAAGTGATTTCAAAGCCGTCAAATTCCACATTGTAATTTTTGTAAGATTGTAATAAAATTGTATGGACATGTTATACGTAGAGAGGAGATGCATGTGACTAGGAGATGTATGAAAAGGGTAGTGCAAGGTAGAGGGGGAAGAGGTCGAGCGAAGAAGATATGAATTGAGTGTGTGAATGACGATATGAGAGAAAGAGGATAGAGAAGAATGGAATTAAAAATTCGCTGTGCCTACCCCACCTAGTGGGATAAGGCGGAGACAAAGAATTTTTATTTCTTTATATTTCCTGTACCTCTTTTCCAGCTTCATAACTTATATAATTTAGGAAAACAATCACCTGGATGATGCACCCGCACGTGTTGGTTCCTCTTCGCGGCGGTTCCGTACACTTTGGGGCACACCACGCACGGGAAATGGCGCACGCGTTTCTCCAAAGGCACTTTAGAATCGGATATATTGTGAACGCGCCACAAATGATTAACCAATATGCCTCGACGCTGTTGAAATAATAAAATCGAACAAGTTTATTACAAAATTATATTGGCAATCGTACTAATACGTTTCCTGGGGGTAGGACGTCTTGTGAGTCCGCACGGGTAGGTACCACAACCATGCCTATTTGTGCCTTGAAACAGTATTGCGTTTCGGTTTCAAGGATGAGGCAGCCATTGTACCGTACTGTTAAAACTGAGGCCTTAGAACTTTTGTCTCAAGGTGGGTGGCTAGAGGCGTTGTAGATGTCTATGGACTCCGGTAAAGACCTCACACCAGGTGAGCCGTGATCTCGTCCACTGATCTAAGCAATAAAAAAATCAGCAAGTAAACATAAAGCACTTAATTGTATTAACGTTATCATAGGCTCGTGTGTGTTGCATACCAGTACATTGTTATTGTTTCTGCTTCAATAAAGAATTTTCTATTCTTAATCTTCCTTTATTATTTTACAAAGACACGAACAAGCAGTATCGGCGTAACCATTACATTGAGCACGTAAACAAATCGTGAGCAGCCGTAAACACATCTCTTTGTAGGTACATTAATGGAATTATAGTGAATAATTTACTGGTGATAGGACCTCTTGAGAGTCCGCGCGGGTAGGTACCACCACCCTGCCTATTTCTGCCGTGAAGCAGTAATGCGTTTCGGTTTGAAGGGTGGGGCAGCCGTTGTAACTATACTGAGATCTTAGAACTTATAATTCAAGGTGGGTGGCGCATTTACGTTGTAGATGTCTATGGGCTCCAGTAACCACTTAACACCAGGTGGGCTGTGAGCTCGTCCAACCATCTAAGTAATAAATAAATAAAAAGTGAAATGTGCCCAATCTGTGGATTTTTACCCGATTCAAAAAAGAAGGAAGTTCTACTTTTTTCCTCTTACTCTTATCCCTCTATATAGCGTCTCTCTCTCTCTTATTCTATCCACGCTTATCATCCGTCGTTTCTATATTTGTCAATATTTAGTTTTATTTCTGCATGTTTAGCGATTTCTCAGTTATTCATTTTACTTTTATTTTGTTTTAAATTATATACTCCCAAGCTGTTCCCAAAGTTAGGCTTAAATTAATTTACCTTGAATTTTTGTTCACATACTTCACAAGTATAATTATACTCATTTGTTGAGACTGGTGCTAATTTGAGTTCCTATAAAAAAAAATTATAGTTAATTTCATTCATATTTGTTTATTTGTATTTTATGCTTTGGGTTTTGTACATGTTTTATTGACAATTCAGAGATTATAACTATAGAAAGTATTTTGATGGTGTGCCAGTAGGTTAAGGATGTTAAAAATAAACAGTATAAAGATTTTAACCGACCTCAAAAAAGGGGGTGGTTCTCAATTCGACATAATTTTTTGTGAAACTCAGAACTTCCTCAAGATCTCAGAGAACCGTCCGTCAGAATCCCAGACTTTCCTTCTAGGTGAATTGATTTTAATAATTTGTTATTTATTTGAAAGTTGGTGCATCTCGTGTAGTCCCATTTTAATTGAATTTAAATCTGACTAGCAGTTATTTGAGTTATCTACAATACTTTCTATTTAAGTAACTTCGACTATATTGATGGTATTCTCATTTTATTTTCTTTGAAGTTGATTTCCGTTTTGTGTTAAAATTTTGTATTATTAAGTCATAATTACACCGATGGGTGACCGTGATTCGGAAGCACCGATATGTTACAATAAAATTTTTTTTTTTTTAAAACAACTTCGCCTAATTAAGTAAATTTATTTATTTATTGCTGGCACCCCCTCTCGTGTAAAGTGGTTACTGGAACTCATAGATATTACAAAGTTAATTCCACCATGAACTATGAGACATAAGGTTACATTCTCAATTTTATTTATTGTATGATGGTTGTCCTACTCTTCAAAACGGACCCTTGACTGCTTTGGTGCAGAAAGAGGCAGAATGGTGGGACCTACTCCCGAGGGGCTTTCAATACACTCTATGATCAATAAATGCTAGCTGAAGATCTCAATACGAAAGATCCATGCTATTCTATACACTCTTAAAAAACTTATATTTGATACATTGATCGAGTCAGTTTTTACCGTATTGTCAGTTATCTTAGAAGTGTGGTCCGAGTGAATGTGTTCTGCTAGACTAATTTTACTCTTGAAGACTCTGCCGCATTCGCATCTCAATGAACTCCTTCGACACTCTCTGTAATTTTAAAATAAATACTTGTAGCTTATCAATTGTGAGGATTCGCAAATATAATGACACTGGCTATTTTATGTTTTTTTTTATTGCTAGATGGGTGGATGAGCTCACAGCCCACCTGGTGTTAAGTGGTTACTGGAACCCATAGACATCAACGACGTAAATGCGCCACCCACCTTGAGATATAAGTTCTAAGGTCTCAATTATAGTTACAACGGCTACCCCACCCTTCAAACCGGTTCAATGTCAATGTCAATGACCAGTCAAATCCTCCTTCCCGTAAATATCGGAGACTTCCCGAGTATCACCGCTGCAAAGCATCACGCCTTTGATTAATGACTTTTAGCTCTTTGACTTCGATGTAGGTCACCGGTGCCCTACGCGGCGCACTCAAGTAAATTATATACATTTCTGTTACTAAGCGCCTGGATTGCCTAATTCTCACTTCTTTTGTTTTTAATGCATGTATTAGTATTTTTGGGTCTCTTAGAAGTAGTTTCATACACAGTATTTTCGGATTCGTCTTTCCTAAAGCCTATTAGACATTCCGGCGCCTTAGTAAAAGAAATCGACTTCAGTACGCTACGCAAGGTACCGGTGCCTGTATTACAGCCAAAGGGCTAAACAATACAATTTAGATTTACCATTTTTAATACGCTTTTATTAGCTTCAGACGTAGGTATGTGTATTAGTATGTAGCGGAATATTTCAACATGAGTTTCATATACCTTGAGATATAATTTCTAAGATCTCAGTATAGTAACTATTAAGTATTTATCATTCTGAGTATCGGCGGATGTGTCCCTGATATTTCTGATGGTTGACGGCGACCACTCACCATCAACTGAGCCGCAGTCTGCCTACAAAAGCATTAAAAAAAAGAACTTACTTTAAATGCACTCGTTTGTTCTCCTTTTCAACATCTTTATTGCAAACGGTACACGACACTAGAGTCTTTGTCTCATGTACTGGTATATTCTGAAATGTAATAACGAAGTGTTTCTTAAACGTTTAAATGTTTATTATTATTAAGCTATATCTATAATAATTTTTATTTTTAAAGGGATTTTATGACCTGCTAACTAAGAGCTTTAGGTCATGTCTTATTTTAATTTATATTCTTATTTTTATGAAAAATCATAATATGGAGTAAAATGAAATAAAATGAAATGAAGATGAGTAATTTGAGAAATTAATCAACTGGGATGAAATTAAATGAAATGAGATAATATGAGATGAAATATAATCTGAGTAAAACGGTGGTCATTTACTGAGATTTTTTCAGTGGACTTTTTGGAGGATCCCGAGAAGTTACGTTCGGCGGCTTTGTTTCATTTTCCCACATTTGTGCATTTTCACAGATATGAAACAGTTAATAAGCCACCGTTATTACACATTTAAACCTGAAGAAACACTAAATAAACAAAATAAAACAAATATCACACAACTTCACTTCTCGCGCTCCCGCCAAAAAGTCCTTAAATATTTGGTTTTTTAATTATATACGTACACATATTACGTACCTCGTTATTAATTTCATTCTGTTGCATGGTATTCGGAAAATCGAGTTGACTAGTCAAAAGATTATCGACTCTATCGTCTAGCGAATAAGGATTGTATTCAGTTTCGGGCCTGGAGTTGGATATGTCGAGACCGGCCATGCGATCGTCGAAGAGATTCGTTGAGAAATCCAAACCGTTTGTGTAATTTTGAAAACTTTCATCTGACGGTGTTCTATTGTCGTCAAGAGTTTGAGAGAAGTTTTGACTAGAATCAGTTAAATTCTGTTCCGAATTGTTTAATTTTTCTTGTGTTCTGTAATTAAATCATAAGTATGCAGTTTGACTATTAATTACGGTATATTTTGTCAATTAAATACGATATGTATTTTAAGAAGACTTACATGAAATCTTTCTTTAAGCAATGCTGTGCCAAATGCCGCTTTAATCTGAAATGATAAAACAAATTCTGATGACGGGAAGCATGCCTGACCTTATCATCAAGGATATCGTCGTGGCCTAAAGGATAAGAAGTCCAGTGCATTCGTGTTGAGCGATGCATCGGTGTTCGAATCCTGCAGGCGGGTACCAATTTTTCTAATGAAATACGTACTCAACAAATGTTCTCGATTGACTTCCACGGTGAAGAAATAACATCGTCTAATAAAAATTAAACACGCAAAATTATAATTTGCGTAATTACTGGTGGTAGGACCTCTTGTGAGTCCGCACGGGTAGGTACCACCACCCTGCCTATTTCTTCCGTAAAGCAGTAATGCGTTTCCGTTTGAAGGGTGGGGTAGCCGTTGTAACTATACTGAGAACTTAGAACTTATATCTCAATGTGGGTGGCGCATTTACGTTGTAGATGTCTATGGGCTCCAGTAACCACTTAACACCAGGTGGGCTGTGCGCTCGTCCAACCATCTAAGCAATAAATAAAAAAAACACAGTTTTGTTTGTTTATCTATGCGTAAAAGTTCAATTCTAGTTTTACGAAGTTCAGACTACCAGTTGATTCAACATTAAACTATCTGATGCAATAAAAAATTTAAGCAGCTTACGTGAACAGCCTGCAAAAGCTTCGAGTACAATTACGACATCGATAACGTTTCTGAGGAATCGCTTTTTCTTCCTACAAAAAGTTTTTCTACAATTAATACGTAACTCGAAATCGAATTTGACGTCATTTGGGGCCAAAATAAACACGAACTTACAATATAAACGAATCTACAATTCCATGTCTATGGTGAGTTGTGATTTTGTGATTCAAGAGAAAAATCATTACTATTTCTCAAAAATAAAGATTGAATGATAAGTTTAATATATCGAATACAGCTAACCATTCTATAACACGGTATTTTACAACACGGTTCCACTCTAACATGAAAAGAAAAATTCACCAAAGCCCTCTTATAGTAAACACGGTACTTCAACAACATCATAACAAGATTTTCGTTTAAAATTACTTAGAAAATTACAGCACTATGAACAAATAATATATGACAATAACCGAAATTTTACTGCTTAATTTTTATATATAATAGGTAAAAAAAGTACGTACAGGCATAGTTGAGATGTTTCATTAAAAAAAAGTACTCTTTTTTTTTAACTGAATTAATGAAAAAATAATATCTCATTTAAAATGGTTTCGCACAACACGGGACTTTGTAGGAACGTATCTACGGTCTTATAGCAAGGTTGCCTATACTAAATTAGATTTATATATTTTTTTAAATAGCCTGTATAGAAAATTCAACGGTAGTTAGCACAAAGTCGACGAAAAACATTTCAGTCTTTTCAGTATTTTTTTTTGTTTCTCCTACTTAAGCTGGTAACTCAGGGGGTTAAGCCAGCGCAACTGGGCAAGAAGTCCGTGACCATGAACACCGTGAACTATTCGAAACGTTGGTTTTAATAAGACGAATTATTAAAAAGTAAAAGTAGTTTGGACTTGGTTCTTTAGTTTTGTTTTAACTTACATTTAGAGCGCAATCGATAGGATAATAGGTAATTTGGTAGGAACTCACCGAAGGTCTGTTTCGTTATAATATTTCCAGCACTACTTTTTCTGGAGTGGCTCCTTTTTTCTTATTATTTAATTTTTCAATTTCAAATCATTAATTAGTCTCACACTCAATATTCACTATTTCTCGAGATCGCACAATTTGATACGCACGATTCAATAGTAAGCTTTGTGATAATATTTTTTTCTCATTGTCCGATGAGATAGATATAGAAATGAATAATCTTATCTTATCTTATACCTTTAAACGAGCAATTCTTGTATATTAATATATATATAATCTGAATCTCGGAAACGGCTCCAACGATTTTCATAAAATTTAGTATACGATAGGGGGCGATAAATCGATCTACCTACGATTTATTTTCAGAAAATGTTGTTTTTTCATGTTTTCAATAATCAACTCTTCCCGACATCTATTGGCGAATAATAATACTATTTTTCTTAATTGAGGGCAACTAACCGCTCTAAAGACACAACAAGATGGCGTTATCAAAAAAAACCGAGCAAAGCTCGGTCGTCGTCTAGTACGCATTGATATAGGAGGGAAAGGAACGAAACCATCATCGATTCGCTCTCAATTCTGTTCAAAATAATTTTAAGCGATGTATCCTTTGCAGATAGCGTATGTAAACAATAATTATTTTAATTTAATTAACATTTCTTATTAGAATTCCGTTATTGGAATTCATCTCACTAGTTTGAATCAGATTTACGTATTTACTCACATGGTGATGGGCTTGCATGTGTCGTTGTAGTGAAGTCGCCGATGTCATCTGTTTACGACATTCGTAACACCACCATTGTTCTTTAGACGCTGCTGCGTATTCTATAAAAATCCTTTCATATTCTCTTACTAATAAACACAATTGAAACGTACTAAAATATATATATATGAGACAATAAAGGTATTGACTGGTGTTGCAATATTTTTTTTTTTTGTATTAATACACACTTTAGTCTTTTAATAATGTTCTATGATATGACTGATTGCATTACTCGGTGGAGAGTAAGGACCCGTTCGCACAGACCGGCTCGGAGAGGAGAGCAGATTTTTATCACGTTGGAAACAGAGTTTTGGGTAATTGTAGTAAAGTTTATTTTTGCATGTGCACTTTTTTTGTCATTAAGAATGATTGAAAGCGCTGCGTGTGAAATAATAAGCCGACCGGCTCGAATTGTGCGCTCTTTCTCTACGGAGTGTGAAATAGTTGGCAGCAGTGCTCCGGCCAATTCCAAATCTATACGATCCGATCTGTGTGAAAAGAAAAAAGCGGGCCGATGCTCTTCGAGCTGGTCTGTGTGAACGGACCTTAAATAGCTATGTATTTATCCTTTTCCCGCAAGTGTTTGCACAGGATTTAAGTCGTCGTATAAACTCTGTTTCTCGATAGATTTTAATATATTTTTGTTAAACGGCTGGATCTAAGTGATCCCATCGTTGATCGTATTTCTAACAAAGTTTATGTCGATAGGTACAGGCTGCATTGGAACCATTCCCGAAAAAAACAGCTGGCAGCCACCCTTCGTGTAAGAGTAAACGTCGCAAAGGGCAACCATTTTTTAAGACTTTTATATTGTACTACGATAGTTAGAATCGTTTTGTTTTTCAGTCAATGTACTCATCGTTTCATAAAGCAGCCACGGAATTATGAGAATATTAACAAAAGAAAAACTACTAGCATATCTAGGTAGAAAGAATTCAAACCATTTGGAGGTAGTCAAAAACGACAAGGAAGAATGAAAGATTAATACCAAAATGAAAGATGAAGAAAATTTACATGTAAATGTGTTTTATAAAAAATGATTGAGACATAAATAAAATACTCTATACAGATGCAAGAATGTTTCATTAAAAAGTAAAAATTAAGTGTATCTTCTATTTTAAAGAGGCCATATTTGAAAGGCCTTTATTAGTATAGTTTAAAATAAATAAAAGTTACCTTCATCTAGATCCTTTACTGGCATTGCATCTGCGAACTTATGTTCATCACAATACGCCTTACTATAACCCAAAGACAGTGCATTTCGTGTGGGTATGACGTGCGTGGTTATACCGTATAATTCACCATCGTCTTCATATATCCACACGTTTGCTGTATCCTGTTCACCCAAAGGGAGTAAACAAAGCCAGTTGGCTTTATCTGTAAAATAATTTGTTTACATAAGGTAAATAGTATGTAATAGTGTAGTTTTTTTGTGTTGAAGAATTACTGGTGGCCGAGGCCTTTCCAGTTTCACCAGTACAGGCGGGCGAGCAAAGGCTCCGAAGGAGACCCAGCAACTTAAAAGCAGCTGCCTCGCGAATGTAGTTTCTAAGTTTAGTGAAAGCTTTGTGTACTACACGATACAATTCTTTTTTCTTTTTTTTTGCTTCCTATTTTAGTAACCTCGAGGGGTTATGTTAAATTCCTCACTGGGCTCTAACCTGGCGACGTTGCTAACACTAGTCCTACCAAGAGCAGTGCTTCACAGAGCGGTACTATGCCGCGATGACCATTGTACTAATATAAGGCGATACTACTATGCCCGTGTTGAAATCCCGCAGGTAGGTACCACCATTTAGTGATGAATACGTACTTTAACTTATCACATGTTTATGAATGACTTCCATAATGTGTGCAATAAAAATCAAACCTGCAAGTATTATAATTTCGGTAGCTGGTGGTTGGGTATATTGTAAACCCTCGCGGGTAGCTACCACCATCCTAACTATTATCCAGTAGGATAGCCGTTATACTGTACACCTGAGACTTAGACCTCATGACTTAAATTGGGTCACGGCATTTACGTTACATTTATGGAACCCTGTTATCATTTAATACCTTATGGACCGTGAAGTAGATGTCCAGTCCAGATATATCAATAAAAAACTTAATTGGTTAAGTTGCTTTAGTTACAGTCAGCAATGATTAATCTAGATATCATTGACCTTACCTTTATCTGATACATCTAAATGTATGGTTTGATTATTTTCTTTCAACAAATATAGTGGTGTCTTGTTTAAAACTGCTTTGGTTTTTAGATCATTCACTTCATTTGGAGATATTATCCTCTTTATACCTGTAGTTACAATAAAACAGATTAGATTTTTAGGCAAAGCTTTTTTTTTAAATGTCGATTTATTCATCATCTTTGCAACTTTATGATTCCTGCCATGATTCAATTATAATTTAAATTAATTTTGACAAATACAGTAAATATCGGTAGTGTGAAAAATTATTATTACAATTTTTAAAATATCCCTAAATCTCATATCCATTTAATAGATCAAAGTGAAATGTTAAATGGTTGGAGCTTACTATGTATATGTATATATTTTATAATTACCTTGTATAGGTCCAAATCGCACCCGAGGTGGAAGTAGCTTACGAGGTGTAACAATACCTCTTCGTAGCTGTAGTGTTGATGGTAGTACTGCAATTGCTCTCTGTAGCACAGGTTTGTCAGGTATATGCACTGTACCAAAATGTGACCAAATACTATACTAGAATTATATATACATACTCATATAGTCCTTTTATTTTATTAAACAGATGTTTTTCAAAGATGTTTGAAAAAATTTTCATTACATAAATATTTAATGAAAGTTTAAATTATCACATTTTCATATATCAGTGTCTTACCATAGTCCTGTGTTATTTTAGTTTTGTCTTCCATTTGTCTTTGCTTTACTATGTTACTCATAGGAATACATGTGAAAACAGTTGGTGCTTCAATTCTCAGTGTTTCAGTAGTTAAAGCTTGAAAGTTATCATCAATCTCTGAGGCTTTGTCTGATGGTTCATTCGCTAAAAGAACACACATTTTTTTTGGTGATTTTATTTTTCATTTATAACAACTTTCTCCTAAGAGGTCCTTACGAAGCTTGCTTTGGTACAGATTCAAATGTGGTTAAATAATTTATGGGGATCTCAACTTTAGATTATAATCTTAGTTAAATTTATCCTAAAAACTGTTGTATGTTTGAACTTAATTTAATGCTGCAAGCGAGTCGACATGCTTTTTGTTAACTTCATGTTAAGTAGACAAAAAATCATAAACATCGCTAAGTATCATATTTATAGATAATAAAATGGGCAGCTTGAATGTGCCTAAGCAATGCCATGAGAAATAGGTTTGATTTTATTAAAAGTTATTTCTTCATCATGCAAGGTGTTTGTAAATTGGAATAAAATTTGGTTACTGCCCCACTATCAGCGTTACTTACGATTATTATTTATGCCTCTATGTATGCCTATTGGATCATTCACAATAATGTGTTTTCAGAAAATTACGAGCCAACAGTGTATCTGCTGAATACATAAAAGTATAAGGTCTTTAGTAACCACTATACTAAGTTTACCAGTTTTTTATAATTATAGTATAATATGTGCATAATTTGGAGTATTAAAAAATACTTGTAATAGGTCGCATGTTAGCAAATATTTATTGAGATTTTATCCTCTGACTTGTAAGTGATCTAGTCCTGTGAGTTTTAAATATAAATTTTGATTTTAATGATTTTCTTGAGTTGTGCAGATTGTGGCAGTTATCTATTAAGAAATACACAATTCAAGTATTGGACAACAATATTCAAATTGTCACTACACACATACACTTCTTGCTTTTTATGGTAGGTAGGATATCTAACATAACATAATTGTAAATTTCCTTGTTTAAGTTAAAAATGGATATTAAAATCACAAGTCAAATCTAATGTGCTATAGAAACCTATAGAATGAACAGCAAATTTTTTTTTTCATAATTTAGAATGATGTAGGCTTTCCAAATTAAATTCATTTTTAACTCACCAAGAGTAACATTCATCTGGTCTTGAGACTTATAACTTATTGATGGAATTGATGAGTATTGATCGTCTTTTGTTACTACATGTAGGGGGGTCTGAAATTTTTTTAACATATTCTTATTACTTAAAAGTAGATTCTTATGTGAAAGGGACTAATTAATTTATGTTTATCTGTTATGATTGCTGTTTTAAAAAAAAACATAAAGCAATCTTTCAAGTTTCATGAATATTTAATTGTTTAAAGTTTTAGCAGTTAAATGATCAACTAAGATCCTCTTGTTTTCCCAGTAGACTACAATAATTTTAACCAATATTTACGTTTTGTAAAATCTGTAGAGGAATGCCTTGTGAGTCTATAAACTGTGGGTATGTACCAGATAAACTTGGTTTTATTTCAATTATGTAAATTTCTTTTTGAGGTCCTTGATTTCCCACCTTCATGCTATATGTATCTGGAAATATATTAAGAAATAAAAATAAAATTACAATTTATACAAATTTAACAATATGAATTTGTTAAATAATTTATCATATTGAGGGGTGAAATGCTATTTGTTTTAAGGGACATTTTGCAACTTTACAGGAGAGCCATTAAGTTTAAAATTTGGAACAAATATTATCCCAAAAACAAACTTCCTTCAGCTAATTGAATAGACTAAATTGAAGTTCAATTAAAACATCAAATTTTTTATGCTCATCTATATATGAGTCGTCTATTATCAAAGGTGGCAATCTGTGCATTTGGACAAAAAAATGTTATTGATATGTCAATACAGATTGATTTGAATATAATCGTCTCCTTCAAAGAATACGGTTCAAAACCTGCATTAAATAAAGGTTAATACTTAACCTGTTATTTATCTAAGATGTCGTTCAGAAGAGTTTTGTGACTGCCAATGGAATACAAAGTCAATAATTCGTTTTTCTGATTTACCAATAATTGTCCAAAAGTCACATTGCCGGCTTTGATAATAGTCGACTCATATATAAAAATGAATTGCTGTTCGTTAGTCAAGCTAAAACTCGAGAACGGCTGGACCGATTTGGCTAATTTTGGTCTTGAATTATTTGTAGAAATTCAGAGAAGGTTTAAAAGGTATATAAATATTAAAATGTTCGGAATTAAATAAAAATAACAATTTTGTTTTTTCTTTAATGTGTCCCCCGTCTGACGGATTCCTTTTGTTTGATTCAAGTTTATTTTATACAAAAGCTTAGGTCTTTTATTTATCTTATATTTAAGCGTTAAAGCCAATGGTTCTTCACTTGGAAATGTTTAACACTGGACAACATTGAGGGAGTTAAGGGAATGAGCCGGGCAATAAGAAATATCAATAATAATCGTGCAAGAAGAGAAGGTAAGGAAGCAAGGAGAATAAAAGAATAAACGTCAATATTTTTATACTAACCCATTTTATACAAGAATCAATCACGGTAATAAACTAAACATTGACTTTAATTGCCAGATATTTTAAAGTAAATATAGGTATTTTATTATGAAACATCAAAACACATTTATTCAATCTTCCTACATAATTATGTAAGTACTAAAATATATTAAGTGTATAATCTATGACCTACAGTACCTACTAATTTCATAATTTGAAAACAAATCAAAACAAAATTTTGATGTCATAAGCACAGATTAGTAAATTAGTTACTATCACAGATTAGTTTAATCATAGCTTATACACTTAATATTTTTTAAGGGATTTATGACCTAGTAACTAAGACCATTTCCATATTTTAATCTAATTTTTATGAATAATGATAATAAGGAGTGACATAAAATGAAATGAAGATGATTAATTTGAAACATTAATTGACTGAGATGAAATTAGATGAAATGAGATGAGATGATATGGGATGAAATATAATCGCAGTAAAATGGTGGTCATTTACTGATATTTTTTCAGTGGACTTTTTGGAGGATCCCGAGAAGTTACGTTCAGCGGCTTTGTTTCATTTTCCGACACTTGTGCACTTTCACAGATACTAAGCGGTTAATAAACCACCGTTATTACATATTTAAATCTGAAGAAACACTTAATAGACAAAATAAAACAAATCACACAACTTCACTCCTCGCGCTCCCGCTAAAAAGTCCAGCCGTAAGTGTGTAAAATTTCAACATAGATAATACACTTAATATTTAAGACATTTTATCATGGAACGCTACACGCATCAATAACGCGTAAAAATTGGTAAAATTTATTATCAAAATCAGTGCTCTATTCAACCACCTATCCAAGAGAGCACTGACCTGGAAAGTGTCTGGCAAAAGGAAGAGAGACCGATTGCCCAGAACAACTTGGCGTCGCTCGGTGGCGCAGGAGCTAGCCGTCTTGGGCATGACGTGGGAGGAGCTAGACTGCCTAAGACCGATGTAAATGGAAGGATTTGATTCGAGCCCTACACCCCAGCAGAGGGTAATGGGAAAGAAAGAAGAAGAAGAGTCCTCTGTTCGTCTAATGTTCCGTGCATTGCGTTCAATTTATGGCGTTCATGGCCGTCCTGCAGAGTCCACAATCTGTCGTTTAATGAAAAAAAATTGAGACAACCGGCTCATTGATCGATGAAGCAGTAGTTTTACCGGTGGTAGGACCTCTTGTGAGTCCGCACGGGTAGGTACCACCACCCTACCTACTTCTGCCGTGAAGCAGTAGTGCGTTTCGGTTTGAAGGGTGGGGCAGCCGTTGTAACTATACTAAAGGCCTTAGAACTTATATCTCAAGGTGGGTGGCGCATTTACGTTGTAGGTGTCTATGGGCTCCATAACCACTTAACACCAGGTGGGCTGTGAGCTCGTCCACCCATCTAAGCAATAAAAAAAAACCTGTCCTGTATGTCGAAGAAACCCAAAATTGAAGAGAATATTATTGCCTTTCGGGACAGTGTGCGAGGAAAGCCCAGATAGTCCATTCCGCGTCGTGCGCAAGAGTCTTTCTACGACATCAACTCGGTGAATTTTGATTTTTAGCCTTACCGATTTGGGTTTTTACACAGAGATTTGGGTTTTTAGTCATACAAAGTTCAATTTAACCCAAGAGCTGAAACCCAAAGAAATCACAGGACCGCGCCACTTGACATACAGCGCCGCAAATATTAAATTTATTGGATGAGAAATTCGAAGGCTTCGTCGTCTCGTGTGGTGGCGACATCAACCGGCCATTGAGGTCGCGTGACATTCCACCGCTTGACTACTTTTTGTGGGGCTATGTGAAATATGTAGTCTATGCAGACAAAGCACGGTCTATTGCCACTCCCATAGACACTTAGCCGACCATAAGGCCAACATAACTATCTACAGATACAGATCTGATAACCATTGCATTAGACACCTTTGGCTCTAACACTAGGAGTAGGGACCCTGGTGACCGTAATCGTCGAACTCGGCAAAGAGTTCGACGTGCAACCTAACCTAAACATCAGCTCGCTGAGTTTCTCGCCGGATCTTCTCAGCGGGTCGCGATTTCGATCCGGTAGTAGATTCATTCGCAAAGCAGCTACTCTTGAGTTGTTTGATCTCCTTTGGAGGCGCTCGGGTAGCTATTAGCAAATCCCACCCTGGCTGAGCCGTTGCTCTCCCACCTGCCTTGGCAAAACTGGAAAGGCCTCTGGGCCCCCAGTAATCTCTCAAAGGTAAAAAAAGGCCAGTTCTTATGTACGGCAGCGTAATACGGGCGGCAACCCAAAGGAAAGTACATACCATCCAAGTTGCTGAAATAAATATGCTGAGGTGGATGTGCGGCGTGACGAGGCTCTATAAAATCCACAATGAGTACGTGCGTGGAAGTCTCGATGTGAGTGACATCGCCGACAAAATGCAGGAGAGTAGGCTGAGATGGTATGGTCACGCAAAAAGGAGGCCACCTGACTGACTACGTAGGAAATTTGGCACTGCTGCTCGACCTCACCGTACGAAGACCTAACGGAACACCCAGGACATGGTGAAAATATGTAGTGCTAAAGGACAAGAGGGAATGCAATTTTACTGACGATGATGTTGAAGACAGGGCGAGGTGCAGTAGTATAATAAGGAAAACTGACCCCGCCACCATGTGAGATAAACAGCTAAGAATACACAGAGAGCAGGCCATCTTCTGCGGAATTGTGACATGTGGACATAAATATCATTAACCAAAGTCTCTGCGCTGACCGTTATTCTCTCCTGAAGTCAGTTTGGTTTCGAACAGTTTCCCGATGTCACTGACAGCATGTTGTGCGTTCGTATCGTCGTTGTTGGAGGCAAGGACTCATGCCAAGGTGATTCCGACGGGCCTCTGGCTCACCAACGAGTCAATCTCGTCGGTATCATCTTGGGGTTACAGATGCAGCGATCCATTGCACCCAGGAGTCAACATTCGTGTTTCTCAATTTACCGACTGGATTTTAGTCCATGCTTAAATAAGGTACTTTACCTTGTTTGCCAAGGGGGTGCCCCTCAATTCGAATTAAAGAAACTTCTATGTATTCAAACACTTTCATCATAATTAAAATAGGCACTATAAATATGGCAGAATAGATAATATCAGGTTTGTAGATGTAATGTGATGTAAATAATTTAAATAGTTATATTATCCTTATTGAGACCTTATCTTTATTATCCTTATTAGAACTGGTGCTCTTTTCCGAGTACTGTCAAATAGATGAAGAATAGCATAAAAGAACTTATGGTGATGGTCCTTTTTAAATAAGATAATTTTACTATATTATTCATTCTTGCTTATTAAAAGAAAATTAAAGGCTCCCTTTGAAAAACCGAAACTAGATTAATAATTTAATTTTTAATAATTTAATTTATAAAACTTGTAATAATTTAAGATTGACTCGAGATACACTTTCGATTATTTGCTGGGTGCACACTATGGTTATTTATTAGTTGCGAGAATTCGGAAAACCCACGAAAATCTTATCAAACCATTTCGCTTCACTAATTAATAAACTTAAAATAAATATATCTAACACTATCTGAGATTAAACTCACTAATACTTAATACACTAGATAATAATTGGACTCATTAATAAAATTGTAGTTGGAAAATTTATGTAAGTAATCAGATTTGTTAATTTCCCCATTTGCACACCTGTTCTTTGGAAATAAAAAGAATCGTTATTCGTATGACTCTTCTGTATAAAATAGTGATATTTTGAGAAATATATCTATCGACAAATCGACATCAGTTGTAGAATTGTTCTCATACCCCTAAAGTTATCGTGGTTTGAATGATAAGACACCTGGTGCTCTTGTTCAAACACATAAAAGTCACATCGCTCAATACGAATGACTTTGAAATGAACTGAAACTCAATACGATTTGTATGCACTCGAATGTACTGAAAAATGGAGAGTTGTGTGTTACCCCATGTGATCCTGTATGCACAGATAATCGGTACAAATTTCCATTTGATGCATGATAATGCTCGCGCTCATAAAGCTAGGGCTACCAGAGAAGTTCTGGAGAAGGCTAGTATACAGATTTTGCCCTGGCCCAAAAAGTCCAGACCTAAATCCCATGGGAAACATGTGGGATTTACTGTGTACGCAGTGTACGAAGCACAAACGAATCCTTGTACAATGAAATACAGCTAATCAACGTGCTGAAATGAAGCAGGAAACAAATCCCTCTAGAAACATTGGTGTACCTTGTGGAGAGTGTTCCACTCAGGCTTCAAGAGTGCATTAGAAAACGAGGATGGCACACCAGATATTGAATAAAGTATTAAATCAACCAACATTTTTGTTTTTGTTTAAACCGTTTTTCTCACGGTCTTTTTTGCAATAATGCAAAAATGGAGGAAGGGAAGGAAGAGTTGTGTCATAAGATTGTTTTCTCTGTCTTCTTTCTTCTTCTCTAACTACTTGACTTCATTGAAAGCTATTAGTGGTATTCCGATTGATCGAAATGTCTCCTCGCCAGTTAAGTAACTGTAGTAACAATAGTACTATTTGGTCTTGCATAAAATTGATTCTTGTTTGAACTAGATTTCTTCTTCATCTTTAACGAATAACTCAAAATATGATACCTCACTGTTAAATATTTCCATAAAACAGTCAAAATATTACTAATAGGTACTTCACCTACAAACGTTACCTCAGCCTGAAAGCGGTTTTTTTAACGTAGCCAATGCCCAGCAATTTCAGAAACTGACTATATGAAAAGTAACGTCATAACAAATATATGGCTTGCCATGTTTTAGGGCGAACGTCTTTATCCGTTCCGTTATCTATTAATGAAAATTAGATGACCGCTTGGATAAGTGATAAAGTTTAGTATAAAAGGGCCTTTGATGAAAATATAACAGGCATCTACTATCGTACTTCCAGAATGCGTACTATCATACTTTTGGCTCTCATTGGCGCCGCTGTTGGTAAGTTATAAGTTTAATTTTTATTTTAATTAGGTATTCAATTTAATTTGATCACTTTTAACTGTTTATAACTAAATAATAAATATAAATAAACCTAAAATAACTAAATAATATTAAAATCACGTCATAAGTAATTTAAGTCAGATTTAATAATCACGTAGAAATTATTTTTTTATAAAATTTTAATATTTGCAATGAAGATTGTGATATGATGCGGTTAAAATTACGTTGTGGTAAAAAAATTGCTAGGCACTACTTAACCCATTTTTCATAAACAGGATGTCTCATATATTATTGCAAAGTGTTTTTTAATCGTGTGGTGTTAAAAAAATAATTAAATTCACACTACAGATACTAATCGCTTAGATCCAATAATTGTACATAAAGGCTCACTGTATTTACACGTTTATTTAAGACAAATGGTCGTAATTAGATTTAACAGCATTTCTTGTTACATATAGCGGTGCCAAGAAGTGTCACACGTATTGTGGGTGGTTCTCCTACAACGGTGGAGACGTATCCTTACATGGCGAACATGCAGTTCCTCTGGTGGGGTATTTTTTGGGGACTGGGCTGTGGCGGATCTCTCGTTACAAGAAACACTGTCGTCTCCGCTTCCCATTGCTTCATGTAAGACCTGTTTTTTACAGTAGACGGGTAGGTGAGTTCACGACCCATCAGTGTTGCCTCGATCCCAAGGACATAACACCGGCATCCACCTTTGGACTTGAGTTGGATGCCTTAACTGTAATGTTTAACGTCTGTCTCACTCTTTAAGCCGGAATGCAGGACTGCTTTACGGTACTAATAGACAGAATGGTAGTACCTCCCGCGCGGGCTCACAATGCCCCTCGCCCCCTTACCGGAACAAAAGCTACTTAAATACTATTATTATACGAGTACATACGCTAGTATCTGAGAGGGTTTCGTTGGCTATCCTATGATGCTGTAAGGACAATACGTGACGAAGACAACACGATACGAAGTAGATATGTATTTAACTCTAGATTTGTTGGCTGACCGTCATTCAATACAATAGGTACTCGCATAAGTTAAAAACTTTTCATGAAGTACGTACACTGCGTAGTAATACAATAAAAAAACCAACTTATTTTAACTTCTTTATAAATATATGTATTGAATTTGGTAGGCCTCTGTCAGATAGACTTTAGTCTAAATATAAAAGTGTAAAGTTTCAGATTATTGAATTATTTAAGTATTTACTGGTGGTAGGACCTCTTGTGAGCTCGCACGGGTAGGTACCACCACCTTGCTTATTTCTGCCGTGAAGCTGTAATGCGTTTCGGTTTGAAGGGTGGGACAGCCGTTGTAACTATACTGAGACCTTAGAACTTATATATCTCAAGGTAGGTGGCGGAATTTACGTTGTAGATGTCTATGGGCACGAGTAACCACTTAACACCACGTGGGCCGTGAGCTCGTCCAACCAACTAAGCAATAAAAAAATTAATAAAAGTATTAATCTTGAAACTTTCAATGTGAAAATTTACAGTGGCGATCGTCCTAGTCAGTGGCGTGTTCTACTCGGAACCTCTCTGGCTTCATCGGGTGGTACCACCCACGCTGTGAGAGAAATTGTCCTGCATCCACAGTACATTCACCGAACTCTTGACAACGATATTGCTATCATTCGGTTGTCCAACCCCGCCGTTTATTCGAGCAGTATCCAGCCTGTTCGTATCGCAGGAGCTAACTATAATGTTCCCGATGGCGCCGTGGTCACTGCTATCGGATGGGGAGCTCTCTCGGTAAGTCTTGTTGTTTAACAACGGTAAATGTGATTTGATTTGGCGCGCATTTTGTTAGCATTTAATGAGTTGCGTAGTTGAGCAGCTAATGGTTAACTCGGGCTTTGAGCGGTTACCGGTTGCCATATATATATGTACTTCGTAATGTGAATTACTGTTCGCAAGTAAAATTGTACCTTACCAACTTCACATCTGTTTAGATGTGCGCTGTTGGCCTGTTCACTCATGAACGTAATAAAAAAGTACTATTGAAGCCTCAATTCCACTGAACTACCGGCTATCTTAATCTTCAAATCGGAATTAATGATTGCTTTGCGGTATTCATATTCAAAAGGTGTTGCCAAACCGTACAGATTAAAAATACGCTTCTAATCATTTCAACAGCATGGCGGCCCGTCTCCTCAGCAACTGCAGCATGTGGATGTAAATATCATCAACCATCAACTCTGCGTGGAACGTTACGCTTTCTTGAAGACTCGGCCCGGTTTCGAAAACTGGCCAGATATCACTGAGAACATGTTATGCGCTGGTATCCTCAACGTTGGAGGCAAGGACGCCTGCCAAGGTGACTCCGGTGGCCCCCTCGCTCACCAAGGAGACATTCTTGTCGGTGTCACCTCATGGGGCTACAGATGTGCCGATCCTTTCTATCCCGGAGTAAACGCTCGCGTTTCCCGCTTCACCGACTGGATAGCAACCAATGCTTAAATGTAGAATTTGGCCAACGTCACCATCATTAGATATCTACATTGATCTACCTCGTAAATTAGAAATCATCAGAGATCTATTTAAAATAGAGAAAATTCGCTTTGTTGAGACTGGAATTTCATGGAATCATTTCTGTGCCCAATTCATAAATACATAATATGTTCATGCTGGGTAAATTCGAATTGTTTTAATCAACATATATCTGTTATTGCATCCCACGTATAGTACTTGTGTACGTCATTAGTTTAGGTATTTCTATGTACTTAATAATATAGTATGATCAAAGTTAGGTTTTATATTTTGTCACCTTGTCATGCTGTCGTTAAGTTTGTTATATATATCTACTTATGTAATTACTGTAATTATTATGTGATTACTGGAGTTAAATTTACACTTTAATAAAAAAAAAATCGAAAAGTATTTAAATATTTCATTTTTATAACCCTAAAAATATGTGACTTGAGGTGTTCAGTATTTATTTATTTTCAATTTTATTGAGTACGTAAATTTACACTTTAATAAAAAAAAATCGAAAAGTATTTAAATATATCATTTTTATAACCCTAAAAATATGTGACTTGAGTGGTTCAGTATTTATTTATTTGTAATTTTATTGAGTACGTTAGTAATACATCTCATAGCCCAACTGGTGTTAAGTGATTAAAAGAGCCAAAGAAACAACAACGTGATATTCATCTTCAATATGTGGCCGAAGTCTCAATTGCATTGTACATGTAACGGCTGTCCCAATTTTCAAACCGGACAGTACGCTTCCCGGCAGAAAAGGCAGGATTGAGGTACCTACTCTTGCGGCCTTACAAATGACATTCTACCATAAACGCCGTCGGGCGTACGTAGCACACTAGTGTATTTAGTGTGCTTAGTGTGAGTTTTTTAACGTTCTCGATAGCGCAAAAATTAACTGAAATTTGTATGCAGTTGGACCAGCGCCCCTAGCGGCAAACGTAGGCAAACGTTCCAACATCATACAAATTTGAGATAACTTTTACGTGATCCAGATCGTTAAAACACTCGCACTAAGCACACATAACGCTGCTGCCATTCTCCATTGAATAGTTTAGATCCCTATTATGATCTCTCGATTTTCTGTGTCGGCAAATACTCGCTCTGGTAGTCTTTTGACATCAGAGCTGCGTTTAGTGAGTCCAAGAAGTTCAGGTGATACTGTACTGGTGCTGGGTTTCTCCATATGCACCCTTTAAATTCTTTGGTCATCTATGCTATAAACACAGTGTTGGAGCTAAGGATAGTTTGTATGTAAAATTTAAAAATAATTAAACATTCATAGTTGAACAATTGTCAACAAAAAAAATCAGACGAACAAAGACAAAACTCGTCCAAGGCAGACTGGAAGCAAGCGGATGCGTTTCGCGTGAAGCACGTATCTCCCCGCTACCCTGTACCCATTGGGCTGGTCGAACTAGTAGTGTAAATAATAGTCAAATTCATTATGTGGGGCAACTCAGTGATTCTCATATCACGCAATAAAATGTCGAATAAAAAAAACTTCTATTTAACCTAAATTTATTTATCTGTCGTGTTCTAGATTAAAATATATGTAACACTATCTATGAGCCACTTCATTCTTTAAATTACTTATGGAGTAATAAGCCACTAAAATTTTACGTACGGAACGGGAATGAAATTAAGCAAAGGGGAATGAAATAAAATGTTTTGACTAAAGCACAAATTTTTTAATTTCCAAGTGGCATATCATCTGCAAAACGCCGTTTCCTAGAAACCCGCAAATTATTTACATTAAAACTAATGTCAGAAAAAACTGTAATCCTCTTGGATTGGGGTAAAACCTTTATTACAATAGGTTGTTGCGATTCTTTTAGCTCTGGATCTTTAATTAAGTCTATAAATCCTTGATGTTTTCCATGTAAGCATGGACTTGAGATACACATAGGTACAAGAAAAGCAACTCAAACTTCTAGCAGTCGTCCCAGGTGCTTTAGACTCCCATAAAACCTGATGTATACGTAATGTATCTTTAAATGAGATAAAAATCTGTATAAGTAAAATTAAAGTACCTGTAAAATGTTTATCTAATTTGGCCGAAACTGTCTCGTCTTGCTGGTTCGCGCCAGCGAAAAAGGCCTCGAGTGCAAAGGTTATAATAGAACAATGCGACTTCCCTGCTGTATCTGTTCAGAATATCTGTAGGGAAAACGGTTCTGCGGTTGAGATCGCTCTTAGCGCTAATACTGCCTATTTTCAATGATATGTAGTTGTATTCTGGTGTCAATAAGGTATAATATTCTCTTTTTTTTATTGCTTGGTTGGGTGAACGAGCTCACAGCCCACCTGGTGTTAAGTGGTTAATGGAGCCCATAGACATCTACGACGTAAATGCGCCACCCACCTTGATATATAAGTTCTAAGATCTCAAGTATAGTTACAATGGCTGCCGGCGGCTCGAATTAAGAAAATAAGCAAATCTTTTAGGGGGCTGGGTGTTCAACTTTTCAACAAGATCCCATTAAACGTTCAATTACTACCTGTTCATAGATTTAAGAAAACTGTCAAGGAACGTTTGTGCAACAAGGCATATTATAAAGTTAAGGATTATCTACTAGATGGCACTACGTGGGAATGAGGCGTTCGCTCCTGGCCTTTTCATTTTTAATTATTATTATTATTTTGTAATTGTATTTTTTGACTTGTTTTTTCGTTTATTGCAAATATTGTTACTTATTTTAAAAAAAAAAAAAATATTTGAGAAAAAACAAAAAAAAGCCCGCTGAGTTTGTTTTGCCGGTTCTTCTCAGGACTGTGGCTTTTTTTGGAACCGGTGGTAGAGTTAACATTGTTATTTAATTTTGACATTCAACAAGTGTATTATACTGACATCTAAGTTGAAATAAATGATTTTGAATTTGAATTTGCCCCACCCTTCAAACCGAAACACATTACTGCTTCACGGCAGAAATAGGTTGGTTGGTGGTACCTGCCCGCGCGGACTCACAAGAGGTCCTACCCAGTAATTACGCAAATTTAAATTTGCGGGTTTGATTTGTATTGCACGATGTTATTCCTTCACCGTGGAAGTCAATCGAGAACATTTGTTGAGTACGTATTTCATTAGAAAAATTGGTACCCGCCTGAGATTCGAACACCGGTGCATCGCTCAACACGAATGCACCGGACGTCTTATCCTTTAGGCCACGACTCTTTCTCTCCCTCTTTTTTGGCCGTTCACAATAATAATTTATCGTTATACTCGTATATTACTAATTAACGGCTCTTACAATTATCCCCTGACATTTACGAGTACATATAACTACATGCGGTATAAATAAAACTCTGTTCTGGTTTACAGGTAATTTATTGGAATGTATTCGATAATATTTAAAGTATATCGAACTTGCTACAAAAACCCAAGTACAAAACGGAGGTTAACAGTAATTACTTTGGTTACGTAACAATTTTGTTCTTAATTATAAAGCTTGCCCAAATATAATTATAAATACATATGTTATGTAGGTACTTTGTTTGGTTGTGAAGTTTGTGTTCAATTGATAATATATAACAGTCATGATATTTAATCATTTAGTTAACGAAATCACAAATTCAGAGCTATAATTTAATTATAATTGAATCGAAAAGAAAACGGTTAAATTTTCACTTGTAGTTTTTGTAATTAACGATTTTGATATTTTGTTTCTATGTGATGCATTAATTAAATGGGAGTTGTAGAGAAACATGCTATTTTATTTTTTGTAAAAATTGTAAAAAAATGTTGTACTTAAAAATTCATAAAAATTTGGACAAGCCGAAAAGATAAAACAAATATTACTATTTAAATTTAAACTAATCTAATATTCATTATTAAAGAAAAGTATTCTAAGAAACATGGTGGGAGATTTTTTTTATTAAAGTTTTAAAAAATAAACGTTGCTATACAATTTATAGTTTAATTAGCAGCTTACGAAGTTAAGGTTTTTAAGGTTAAAGAGACATGTTGTTTTTTTATGTTTGTCAATTTGATCATAATTAATATAATATGCAGTTTTTCTATAGTTTATTGTGCTTTCTCTGGTCAGTCAATATAAAGTTCAGTTACATTTAAACTCATATATTGAAACGACATTAGATCTATATAAAATGTTTGACGAGAGGAGCCCGCAGGTAATATCGTATAGAATATCCTATTTCGTGTTTGATCGTGTGCAATATTTTAAAACATGTATAGTTAAACAACAATTTTATAAAATAATATGTATCGAAATGAAGTGTAACGTGATAATTATAAATATAAAATATAGGTAAAGATGACTGACTGGGCACGCATTGAGAATATTTCAGTATTTGCATTTTAATGGTAGTGGTGTTCGAAGGCATTTTCTTCGGTTTTCGCGAATCATAGACATAATTAAAACTACTTTTAAAGTTTAATTTTGCGTTTTTTAATCGTCTTTCCGTTTCCAACGATTACTTTACAGAAAATTTTCGTCCGTAACAACAAAACGTAAAAGTAGTTTAAATTATGTTCTAAGCTATTGTGTGTATTATACATTTTATTTTATTCAACATCTACCCCCATCACCCGAATTAAGATTTAGAGCGTTGTCACTTCTGACCACTATTTTATATCTAAATTGACATGTTTTTGATTTAAAAAAAAAAGTTAACAACAGGAACATGTCAACATTGTTTAGACTTATTAATAAGTACAATAAATTACTTTTGGTACATTAACTAAATATAAATGAAATTTTATTTTTAACTGAATTTTAATACGACATACAACTTAGCCAAATATAAAAAAAAATCGAAAATTTGATTAGAGAATAAATTATTTATAAGAAAATTATGCATTACAAAAAAAAAGTCACTATTAAATTACTTATACCGAGAAATTATAATAAGTTATAAGTTAAAGCATTTCATTATTTTTAACAAATAGCTTGCCTTTCGTAGATTCATATCGGCAGTCACACGTCCGGATTATGCGCAAAAATATTTTGGTAGTTGTTTTTTTGCTTTTGACTGATTTATTTTAAAGCTGTATTTATCAGCTAAATACGATAATTATTATGTAAATCGATCGAGTACATAAATAATAAATAAAAAAATACACGAGGCAGCTTAAGCGTTTAAAAAAACATTCATATGTGAAAGCAGAATTTCGATTACCTCTCACACGTCCGCCCGCAATTGCATTCGTCATGTGACGTCATAAACCGGTATGTGCATGAATTATGTGTTTACAAATTTTGAATTTTGCTATCGGACTTTAAAAATAATTACAAAATTGAGTCAAGTAATCTAGTTCAAATTTACTAAGACCTCACACATAAATGTTTACCTTTTTAAGCGGTAAAAAAAGTATTGTAAATTTATGATAGTTTTAATTTGGGTAAACGATTTTGGCGATTTCTCAGTAGCTATCGCTTAAATCGTCTCAAAATATTGAATAACAAACCATTAAACATTTATATTAATTTTTACTTTTTTTTTATCTATCTTTTTATGTGACAGATAAGAAATTATTATGTTAATTACTTATTGATAATTATTGATAATACTAATAAGTCTGTCTCGTCGCTACTCCGATTAGCAACACAAAGTTTCCAGAGCACGTCGCTTATTCAATCGAGAGAGAAAACTAACTAACTTTCTAATAAAGCTTTCAGAATTAACTAAAATTTTGAGACTCATATTTACGGTTACAATAATACAACCAAGACGAAAGAGTTTCTTAAAGTAAGTTACAAAATATTTATATTCAGAGCATGTACTTACTGAGGTACTGCAAATATATTTCAGAATGAAAATAATAATATATAGAAAATCATTTTGATATTTAGAAGGATTTTTTTGCACAACATTTTATCAGTTTATTGTAATTCTGCACTGATTGTATTGTTTCACAGGCTTTTAGATTAAAAATTCGCTTGGCAACGTGGCGTTCAGAAAACAAAAGTTTTCAGGGTTTTAAATTAAATATTTTCGCGTTTAAATATTATAGAGCCCACCAACCCTACTATATATATTAAAAATATTATTCCCTACTGCGGATAAATGTTGTCTTCAGCAATGTTTTGACGGTGGATAATAAAAAACAAATTTATGCGATTTTAAGTGCCGATGTTTTATGAATGGCGGTTAATTGTCTAAGCAAACACTAATCAAAGCCATAGGTATTTATATGCCCTTTCCTTATTTTTAAGAAGCCACACTGCTATATATTCAACACCTCACATGTTAAGAAATCAAGTTTTTTACTTTAATTTTATCCTACGCTAATTGGTGTTCACCTTACAGATTTAAATCCTTACTTAATTATTCTAAATTATTTAACACATCGATGCATGCACCGTTAAATTATATGGATAAATAAATAAAAAAATCTTAACAATTGAAATCTGAAAAATTTTGGCAGTTTATTTAATGCATGATCCTTAAGAATGAAGCTCCTATTGTGATACTCACTTTGAAGTATTCATCACCTGTATTAATTATTATAGAAAAAAGATAAATACATAACATGGAATTACGATGAAGATTTATATTTGAATAATATTCCAAATGTATTATACTGTGGCGTCGATGTGTATCAAAAAGGTTGGTATATACGAAATGCTCAAACGTCAAAAAGGTCACGTAACGGTCGTATCAAATTTTTTTTTCGAAGGTCCGCTCACTATATTAAAATCTTTTAGTTCATCCAAAAAGTTTTTTTATTTAACCGTTTTAAGTGAAAGTTTTGGTCGGAGCCGTGCCATGTCTTCTTCTTCTTTATTTTTTGGCTCCAGCACGGTTTATGCATTAGCCAGCGTCAAGTAATAAGATTTTTATAATTCGCCGTTTTCATTATTTACAGTTTATGAATAATAATAAAAAAGGAAGGAAACTTAATCAATTGGCATGATATTAAATGAAATGAGATTTACTGAGACTTTTCAAGGGACTTTTTTGAGGATCCCGAGAAGTTACGTCCGGAGGCTTTGTATCACTTTCCCTCATTAGTGCACTTTCACAGATACTAAGCAGTTAATAAACCACCGTTACTATATATTTAAACCTGAAGAAACACGAAATAGACAAAATAAAAATATTCAAACTACTTCGTTCCTCGCGTTCCCGCCAAAAAGACGAAATTCCAACGATGGTTAGTTGTTGACAGCTGACAGGTGATCTTTGACGTATGAGACACGGAAACGTGATTATGGGTACAGTTTTGTCGAATTTTGACCTATGGCGATATTCATATTTCACCTTCCGGCATTCCGGTATAAGCCAATTGAGATAATAACCATACAATTCCTACTTAGCAATGCATCGATAACAAACAAATGTACAAACAATATTATTTCAACACATTATATTGTTGTTCAAAACGTTTTTAAATTCTACGCAAACACAAAAGCTTCACTAGAAGCACGAAAGGCACAGAATTCATAAGACATAGCGCAGAAACATCGTCTCGTACTATATAAATATGTATAATTATTATATATAATTATAATTATTAAATTTTTTATTTCATAAGATTAATTTTCATCGCTTGGTGTTTTAAGGGTCATACGTATTTACGAATAGCGTTTGCGATTGCTGTAAATTTCAACTATAATTGAAATATAAGTAGCATTATGAGGTTGAAATTCACAAACTTATTATCTATTATCTGTAACTCAATCTCCATCTCACCACCATCTCATAATGTTCATTTAATCGATTCAGTATGTTCATAAGGTTTACTTTAAATTCAATTATTTGTATACTTATAAAATAAAAATAGTGTACTAAAGATCAATTCAACCCAACTTCAGAAACAGTTAAACGGTTTTATTTTAATTATTTTACTCCTTAAGATGACAGATGGATGGTACCACGGACAGCGTAGTTGAATATTAACAACGACAATACCACGGGCGTTGCGAGCCCCCATGCGGACATCACTGCGACTAGTGACTTGAGCGTGAACTTGACGAAAAATTTATAAATTTTATGTATTTAAATTTCTGAATTCTACGTTGAAATTAAAATAATTTAGGAGGATCACACACATCTCACACAGAATTATTTTGTTTTGCGTTATTTTTATGTTCTAGATTCTTCAACAAAAACACTTGTTATTACTATGGAATTATATCAAAAATATATACGATAATATTAGACAACGTGGATATTGCGATAAAAGGGATTTGACGTATTATAATCCGAAATACAATTAATTTGATTTTCATTTTAATTAACTAATTAAGTTTGATCACTATCACGTGAATAGCCTTAAATCGATGGTATTAATCTTAAACATTTTGGTTCTTAATCTATTGTTTTTTTTAATAGTCACTCTTATTGTTTGTATAAATACTTTAATGATAATTGAATTCTGAATGACCATAATCTTATCTATTCTTATCTTTTCACCGTACATATACAGATAGATGATTGTGGATATTTTAGGGCATATGTCCGCAATGTCAACTGCACAAAACTCAATAAAAGGTCAACAGCCGCGCTCGGCTGTGTTCATTAACGGTGCGAACTGCAAAGGTTGTACCCACTCTAATAAGAGCAATTATACATCATTATGTTTTTAACAGAGCACATTATCTTCTGTTGTTTTATCGAGTTACAACATTATTGTAGAGGACTCAAAAACAAAATTGTGCGCGTGCAACTTGGTACACGAGAAAGAAGTGAAACTTCTTTTGCGGTGTCTAGTATTGTGGTTTTCTTCATTTTTATTCTTAAATCAAATATCTCTTGTAATAGGGAATGTTGTGTACAAGGGAAACGACCTAGCTCGCTTTTCCTTTCTCTCTCTCGACGGTCGACTGGTTCGTGAGACGCTGTCTATTTTTTCACTCTCGCTCGCACTAAATTGTATCTTTTCTCTCTGGTCATAACGAATCTGTCGCGAGTTAAATTTTACTCTCAACGCACCTAAAGAAGTTTCACTTCAAAAATTACTCTTAAATTTTACATGTTTGCTATTTTGTTTTTGTTGTTGTTTGAGTTAAAAAATAACGGTTTTTTTACTGAAATTGGGTTGAGTTTACTGCAATGTAAAATTAAATTTTCAGTACGTTTCCTTAAACATATTGATAGATTAAACGAACCTTTTGCTTATGAGATGCAATCCCTTGTCCAGGATTCGATGTATGGGTTATTGTCTGTCGACTGTCCTCTTCAGCCATTGCGTGAAGTGGCGCAGTTGCAGCACGGCCCGAGCAGACTCCTCGCGCAGTCTCGCGTTGTGCCGACGGAGACGACGTACCTGCATTCATAATTTTGTATAAGCAATACAATATGACATACGGAGCGGAAAAGTGGACACTCACGGTTGGGCTGGTCCACAAGTTTAAAGTTGCTCAGCGAGCTATGGATAGGGCTATGCTTCGAGTTTCTCTGAAAGATCGAATCCAGAACGAGGTGATCCGACAGAGAACCAAAGTTATAGACATGGCACAGCGAATTAGTAAGCTGAAGTGGCAATGGGGTGGCCATATTAGCCGGACAACCGATAGCCGTTGGGGTAAACGCGTTCTTGAGTGGAGACCGTGAACTGGAAAACGCAATGCAGGACGCCCTCAGACTCGGTGGAGCGATGATCTGTGCAGGGTGGCAGGAAGTGGATGAGAGAAGCCGGGGATCGTGCACAGTGGCGAACAATTGGAGAGGCCTATGTCCAGCAGTGACTGCTATAGGCTGATGATGATGATGAATACAAGACTAAACGAACGATATCTTAAGATTTCCTCGAGCTATTCTATTAGTTACTAGACGTGCTTCGCGGTTTCACCTTCGTTAAAGTTATAATTAAAGATCAATGAAATACATTGCATTTTCCCGGAATAAGTAGTTGACTGAATCGTCCTACACTTTCAGTGTCTGGACCATTAACTACCAGTTGATTTGTAGATTCGTTGGTAGGTATATAATCAAGAATAAATAACACACTGACAATTGAATTGAAGAAATTTGAAATTAGTTCAGCGACCTTTTCTATTTAGTGACAAACTATACAAATTTCTATTTATTTTTCCATTTCGAAGCGAATATTACAGTTATAAAGTCGATATTATGAATTCAATTGGTAGATAAGTTTATTGGCGACTAAGAGCTTCGTTAATCTCTTCCCTTCAGTGCGATCGTAAGCTCGTCTGCCCACCTACTGAAATGAATGGCAATAATACGTGAGGACGAGTACAGTGAAGTAAACAAACGATGTTCCGAACGATCTGGATGGATTTCTACTAGTCAGCATTTTTAGAACAGACTGTATGTAGTGTTCGTAATGACCTCGTCCTCGAGCTGGTGGCGGTGGCGTTGCGCGGCGGCGTGGTCCGCCTCCAGCGCCGCCACGCGCGACGCCAGCCCGCACGCACACGCGCACGCACTCGGCGTGCCCGCGCCCGCACTCGCCGTCGGCTGCGGACTCACCTACAAACACAACAAGCCGAATTAGTGATTTTGACGGTCTTCACGAACAAAGCGTCTTGTTCAATAACATGACTACTGGGAGAGCGTAATAAAAAATTCCAACAAAACCGTAATTTGAATTCTGTTATTAACATCGTTATTTAACGGGCCCCTAAGGTTACCTTGTTTTCTTGATGTTATAAAGAATTTAAATATTTAGGCTTTAAAAGTAATAAACAAAAATCACGAGAGAACACTTCTGTTTTTACTCTTTACTGATTAAGCTTCACTGTATTTGTTCTCGAAAATAATTCTAATACACCCTGTATACGGAGCTCAGAATGGTTTTCGCCTTTTCAGCAATAGTATTGTTTTCAAAGACTTATTGGGGGACGTGAGAAGCGAAGTTGTGTGAATTTATTTTGTTAATGTACTGTTTTGTTTAATGCCGCATTGTACATTAATTTCATATGCCTATGTTCAGCAATGGACAGTGGATAGGCTGAGATGATGATGAGTGTACAGTTTTGTACCGTACCGCCACCACATAGACACCCTTTTACTGTGATTATCTTTATTTTATTCTATCTCATATCTACTAGTAAAAGTTTCCTATCGAAAAATACATTCCAAACGAACTCACTTGTGTGACGTCAGACCAGGAATCGTTTATAGGTTCCGTGCTGAGAGCTTCCAAAGCAGGATCAGTATTATCTATTGATGGATATTGATGTTCTTCGCAGATCTGTAAGGAAATCTATATTAATTTCAAGGTTATGTAGGGCTGATTGCTTGTATTTAATGTCGAGTTCAAGTTGTTTTTCTAACTTTGTTTTAAGTAAGACATCTTGCAAAACATTTAATAATTAAAACAAAATTATTGCTCTTGTAGGCAGACGAGCATATGGCCCACCTGATGGTGAGTGGTTACCATTGCCCATGGACTTCAGCAATGCCAGGGGCAGAGTCAAGTCACTGCCTACCGTTAGGTACTCTCCACAAGCCTCGTTTGAAGAAGAACATATCAAAGCGCTCGGGAAACACCGTGGAGGGGAGCTCATTCCAAAGCCGGATGACACGTAGCAAAAACGATCTCTGGAAACGCACTGTGGATGAACGCAGTGGCTCTAGGTAGTATGGATTATTTGAGTTCGTATGATGGGAACGCGGATAGTTAGAAACATTATTAGTATACTTACGTGGTAGCATTGTTATGATATCGCACGGTTTTTTTTTTATTGCTTAGATGGGTGGACGAGCTCGCAGCCCACTTGGTGTTAAGTGGTTACTGGAGCCCATAGACATCCACAACGTAAATGCGCCACCCACCTTGAGATATAAGTTTTAAGGTCCCAAGTATAGTTATAACGGCTACCCCACCCTTCAAACCAACCGAAACGCATTACTGCTTCACTGCAGAAATAGGCAGGGTGGTGGTACCCACCCGCGCGGACTCACAAGAGGACCTAACACCAGTAAAAAAGTATAAGTTCGTCAAATTATAAACGCTAATTGGTCGGATGAACAAGAAGCAGATGGAGTGTAAGGTACCTGCAGCATGGCGCGCGTGGCGGTGTGCACGAGCGCGGCCCAGTCGAGCGCGGTGGCGTCGGGCAGCGGGAGCGGCGCCGTGCTGCTCTCCAGGCGCCCCGGCCCCAGCTCCGCGTCCATCAGCCGCATCAGTTCCTCCTGTTATTAGATAATCGAAAATGCAGAAAAAAAAACACACACACAAACCACATTTCGTCTTTTCGCATTAAAAGTGTACAATTTCCAAAAATATTAGTAATTGAGTTAATATGCGGAATCATTTGATATCATCAGTATTTTTCTCATAAATACTGTCAAAAGAGCACAGTTTAGTTTTAGTTTTTTTTTTTATTTACCTATAAATAATAAATATACCAAATTACGTTTTTAAGGGGGTCAAAATCATGTTCAAAGATTCCGTTACAAACATACATACATACATCTAAAGCTAATAAAAGCGTATTAAAAAAGGTGATAACCCTAGTTGCAACCTCCATTCGTTTTTTTAGCTGCTTTAATAGTTGTTTTGCGCACTTCAACTAGCTAATGCTTAATTAACAATAGCGGTATTGTATGTAATAAAGTGTTTAGTTACCGTAAGCGAGCTGGTATTGGCGGAGGACCGTTTCTGTCGAGAGTGACGCGGCGACGAGTCATCGTGCGAGCGGCGCCGCACACCGTCCGGCGACCGTCGACCGCTGCGACCCGATCCTCCTGCGGTATATTTATTGTTAAACGTCAAAATTTCAGATTTTGAAATTGCATATTTAAGCAATACTGCCATTGATAACCTCATTACAGATCCTCTCGATCCATTAACGTTGCTTTTAGGTACCTCAAGCACCGGTTACCGTCCTCGCCGAACCCGTCGCTTGCGACGAAGGGCTCGAAAATTAACGTAAATTAACTCATAGACACAGCCCACTAAATTTCTTGCCGGATCTTCTCAGTGCATCGCGTTTCAGATCCGGTGGTAGATTCTGTGAAGCGCTAGGGCTAGTGTTAGCAGCACTCCCGGTCTGAGCTCTGTGAGCTCACCTACATAGCTCGGTGAATTTAGAATAACCCCTCTAGGTTACTAGAATAGGTAGGAAAAAAAAATTTATATTCACCTTCCCATACTTTTTTTAAAGCAGATAAATTTACGACTATCACCTATCGGTTGATCCAATCCACGTCCAATTGGTCCCCTGTTTCTTTATAAAAGTCCTAGAATTGTATAGCTAGCCTTTAAGCTGGAGTACATGTGAATAGGTGTCGGACCTGTGCCGTATCCGGAACTGTCGGATCTGGGCGGCGAGTGGCCGCGCTCGTAGGCCCGGCGGCCGCGCGCCGGCTGCTGCGCGTCGGCCCGCGCCTGCGCCGCCCACTCCTCGCCGCCGGTCTCGCACTGACACTTCAGACCCGACGCGAACGTTACTCGCACCTGCGTCATTCATTTACATCGAGCGGTGAAACGCTATTTGGTTTATGCGGCATTTTTCAACAGGAGAACCATTTAATGTTTAAAATTTGGTAAAAATATTATTTAAGAAAAAACTTTTTCAGCTATATTGAATGACTAGCGGACGGGTACCCGCTTTGCTGGGCATTTAAAATTAACATTATAATATCTCACCCCCACAAAGATTCTTATCATTAACGCCCCCGCAACTGGTGTAGGGAGTCCAAGACTCATATAAATATTAGCCTATCCATTAAGTATATTATGTATTTTTTACATGGATACCAAGTTTCAAGTCAATCGGATGCATCGTTCAGTAGTTATAACGGAACATCTGTAAAAACCACTGTAGTTCTATATATTAGTAGAGATGTAAACATAATTGAAGGTCATTTAAAAACATCGAATTGTTGATGCTAATAGATACCAAATAAGACCTTTAATTACAAAGATAAATTTCGTGTGTCAAGCGAAAAGTCACTTAAACCAAGTAGCCTTTCACCCCTCGATATGTTCGTATTAATATATCTCGCATCAGAAACGTAACGCGTCATACGTATCTTGACGTATTATTGTGACAAATGGATATTATAATACAACTCTTCACAGAGTTTCAAGTGTTATTTTAAGATTAGCTACATTAGATCGGTCAACCAGAAATAATTTATTCCGCGAATTATCACTCGAATATGTGCCGTTAAATATTGCTTTCTAGACCTATTGTCTCATAGCTAGTTAGTTGTGCGTGTTAAGCGGGACCGTGCGGACTCACAGTGACCGGGTCAGATGTTTTGAGCAGATCTACGAGTTGATCATGGTTGAGCGCTACAACAGCGGCGCGGCACACCTCCAGCAGCCGGGCGCCGCGACGTATGCCAGCTCTATCTGCACACCCTCCGCCTTCGACTGCCGTCACTAAGCCATCTGGTTGGACATGGAAACCTAAAAATTAATCACAAATAAAGCTTATCATAATATTAGTTGATCAAAAAAAAAACTCCGACTTTGTGATTTGTTTTTAACGTTTATGTAAAGCTATAGAGTTTTCGATAACAAAGCTTTTTTTTTAGTTCAAACAGGCATAATCATTAACATTAATTAATATTATTAAAATTTCCTATGAACTATGCTGAATTGATGTTTTACGGGATCTCGGTAACACTATCGTATAGGCCGGCGGTTTGCGAGGCGAAGGCTGTTTTTTTTTCGACCAAATATACCACGAAGTTGGCAACTCAGCATATCTTTACTCTTAATTGTGGAGGCTTTTTGGCGGGAACGCGAGGAGTGGAGTTGTGCTATTTGTTTTATTTTGTCTATTTAGTGTTTCTTCAGGTTTAAATGTGTAATAATGGTGGTTTATTAAGTGTTTAATATCGATGAAAATGCACAAATGTGGGTAAATGAAACAAAGCTACTGGACGTAACTTCTCGGGATCCTCCGAAAAGTCCACTTAAAAAATCTCATTAAATGTCTACCATTTTACTGAAGTTATATTTCATCCCATATTATCTCATCTCATTTCATTTAATTTCATCCCAGTTGATTAATGTCACAAATTAATCATCTTCATTTCAATTGATTTCACTCCTTAGTATCATTTTTCATAAAAATAAGAATATAAATTAAAATAAGACATGACTTAAAGGTCTTAGTTACCAGGTCATAAAATCCCTTAAAAAAAACTCTTAATTGTGAAGGCGTTGGCAGGGATTGGCAGGCACAATGATAATGCGTTCTTTATGCAACTTTCTATTTATAATCATTGGAATAGCCGTAGCTGACAAGTGTGTAAATTCAGAGCTGCCAGTTGCACGAAAAAAAACTATACAACATTTAAACAGTTATTGAGTTATCTTTTACTATTATGTTGATGATAATCACCAATAGTTGTCTTATATTACTTTTGTCTGTGGATTTCTATTTAAGCAGGTTTTTTTTATTGCTTTGATGGGTGGACGAGCTCACAGCCCGCCTGGTGTTAAATGGCTACTGAAGCTCATAGACATCTACAACGTAAATGCGCCACCCACCTTGAGATATAATTTCTAAGGCCTCTAGTATAGTTACAACGGCTGCCCCACCCTTCAAACCGAAACGCATTACTGCTTCACGGCAGAAATAGGCAGGGTGATGGAACCTACCCGCGCGGACTCACAAGAGGTCCTACAACAAGTAATGTAAATAATGTTAGAGACCAAGTTGTGCAGCGGCTCCCCTCTCCAGCGTGATCTCGGAGAGCGCATGCGCGTGCGGCGGCGCGACGCTGGCCAGTCTCCGCAGCAGCGGGTCGGAGCAGCCCTGCACGCGCACGCTCTCACCGCGGTGGTAGTACACGCGGACCCAGCCGCTGCTCACCACCCAACCTGGAAAATAACCTTAATTAATTCCAATTGTTTCATTTTTTTCATTGAAAACGACCATTAAAACTTTTTAGTCTGACAATTTGAAACAGGTTCAGTCACCGTGTATAGATCATGTCTATATGTGTCTATATTTGCAAGTATATATTTTTTATTGCTTAGATGTGTGGACGAGCTCACGGCCCACCTGATATTAAGTGGTTAACGGAGCCCATAGACATTTACAACGTAAATGCCGCCACCTGCCTGCCTTGCCTTGAGATACGAATTGTAAGGTCTGTTTTTACAGAACAACGACTGCCCCACTCTTCAAACCGAAACGCATTATTACTTAACGGCAGAAATAGGCAGGGTGGTGGTATCTACCCGTGCTGACTCGCAAGATGTCCTACCACCAGTTATTATACAAATTATAATTTTGCGGGTTTGATTTTTATTACACGATGTTGTGCAAGTCAATCGTGAACATTTGTTAAGTATGTAAGAAAAAGCCGCCTGCGGTATTCGAACACCGTTGCATTGCTCGATACGAATGCACCGGACGTCTTATCCTTAAGGCCACGACGACTTCATTTGTATGACAGTCACGAATTAGTACTTTGAAATTTCTAATAACTGTGGTGTGGAAACCCCTATATCCAAGTTAATGATCTTTGTTAAAAATTGCTTATATTGATGTTCGTTTCGATGTATGGAAATTTTAATACTCAAATTCTTACCAAGCAGCGAAGCAGTTGGCAAAACTAGGATAATTTGTCGATTTAAATCTTCAACAAACACTATAGTATCAGCCGAAATTCCCATTATACATTCTACTAATGTTCCACCAGCACCTTCATCTTGCACATGAACCTGAACAATTAAACGGCTTTCTTTATTCATCAATACGGTTAAAAATATGAAATACATAATTGAAAATATCAAAAAGAACAAAATTAAGTGCAAAAAGCCGCTATAAATAAAAATAAGAAAATTAACGCAAATTTAAACATAGTAAATTCATTATTTCATTTAATTTTCCCCACGGTAACAAAAGTATGATTGAAATATATTTGTATTTTTTTTATTGCTTAGATGGGTGGACGAGCTCACAGCCTCCAGGTGTTAAGTGGTTACTGGAGCCCATAGACATCTACAACGCAAATGCGCCGCCCTTCTTGAGATATAAGTTCTAAGGTCTCAGTATAGTTACAACGGCTGCCCCACCCTTCAAACCGAAACGCATTACTGCTTCACGGTTGAAACAGGCAGCGTGGTGGTACCTACCCGCGCGTACTCACAAGAGGTCCTACCACCAGTAATTACGCAAATTATAATTTTGCGGGTTTGATTTTTATTACACGATTGCTACAAGTAGGCAGTTCATTAGATTTTATATATTGACCAGAGTCCTCTTACAATGTGTTAATGGAGTATACTAAATACAGTATACTAAACAGAACCCACTTTTGATGAAACATTCTGTATATCCCGCACAAATTATTTTGCGAGAGGCAAAAGTAACTCTACAAAAAAATAACTATGTATCTCATAACTTTTCATTTCTGAACTGACAAAAATATTTTGAAAATTTAGGGCATATTAAATGTTTATGATTTGTTTACAATCTTAGCTAAGATGGTTTTGATAAACACAAAATCACTTAAAACTGTACTGATTTTTACAATTTACTCATTTATATTAATTATATACTAGTTAAAACGCATTTTTTACCATTATTTTAACCCAAGAGGACGACTTACATGAAAGCAAAGCGCACCGCCCACCAGAACGTCGTTAGTACAGTTATCCACGCGAGCTACCATCGTGCTGTTCGCGGAATTACTTCCACTTTTCATTAGCAATGATGAGAATAATGCTGAAAAAATTTAGATACATATTAAATTCTAATTTGTTTTCTTATGCTTTTAATTATTTTTTTTTTTTATTACGTAGAATGTACTTACAAAACTTTTGACCGGTTTCAACTGTGGTAGCTGTGATGTAATTCTTCGCAAGGTCTTTTAGATACTCTTGGCGAGTACGTGTTGCCATTGTACTAAACTTTGGTGATTGTATTGCAGCATTTTCGCCATTTATTACCTAAAAATGAACATATCCATACTTTGTATTTTAAAATAACGATTTGATAACTTTTTATAAGTTACGAAAAATACAAAGTCTTTTTATATTTTTTTATTACTTACCTTACTTAAAAGCAAATCGGTAAAGGCTTCTCCTTTGGGATAAACAGCACCGTCTTTTATCGGGGGGCCAAATAAAGGCACTTCTTTAGCACGACTAACAGCTATACTGTAGTGAGTGTGGTCCGTACATGGATCTATTGCTCGGACAACTATAAAGACATGTTGAAACTGTGAACGAATATTGCGCGGAGTGAACGGGGCGGCGCCGGGCTCCTGAAATACTATAGTTACGATATCGTTTCCGATATGTCGTTTTCTTAACAGTTGCTGTCTGTTATTCGGTGTGTAGGGAAGCATCGTTGACACGTGAAACATAATGTCGCAGCTTTGATAAGTACTGAACACAGAATACAGCCCGGTCGAATCAGTTTTATTGTCTAAGCCAGCCTTGTACTTGTCGAAATCTTTCAATCTAACGGTTTGCCCCAACATTTGAAGGAATTCAACAAATGCTGGGCCAGCTTCCTGGTTGTTATACATTTCTTCTTCAGTTGATTGGCCACTTTTGCAGTACATAACTCCTACTTTATAATGTCGTGTTACGCATTGTTCGTCTAATCGTAATAGTTGCTCTTCTGCACCTCTGTTTGAGATCCCCAGTCTGAAAAGGGATGATTTTTTAAATTTGGATATTTAATTGGATTATTTGGAAATACGATTATTTTAAAATAGATCAAAAACCTTAGGCAGTTAAGTTGTAACTCCGGCGCAACATATTCCAAAACTTCTTTTGTGTTATAAGAAGCGCTGTTTGTTTGTTTAATATTTATTAAAGCATCTTCGAGTATGGATCCGCGTAAGGTGAGCAATTCGGAAGTCCGTATGAGTAGGCGGTATTGCCATACGAGTTGGGATAGGGGCGTCGATGCGTCTGTGTTGCCACGTCGTAATTCAACACGTTCTTTCTTTATGGAAACTGCTACTGGTCCGAGGATGTCATCCATTCCGAACCAGTTCTGGTGCGCTGAGGATTTAAATTTCAATAGGTATAGCATTGGTCTACACTCGTTAATAATATTTTTTTTTTTTTATGAAAATGTAAATATTTAAAATAAAATTTATTTGCATAACTAGAAAGTTTATTTTCACTTGTTTAAATTTGGCTGCAAGACGTTAATTTGATTCATTGATTCACAAAATTACAGTTACATAAACCATCCAGTTGCCAATTAATACATTGCAATTTGGAATTGAACTTTTATTATGTTGGAATCATTTTTGGGATACATTAAGGATTAAGGTGTTATTATGCTTAGGCTTATTATGTGATCTCACATGACGACAGACATCAGGATTGACTTCACTCAGAAAACCATTTTCTGTGTGCAAGGAAAAGTAGATGACAAGAAATAGTTTTATAGACAGTGAAATTGCAGTTGGTACATTATTCAAATGTGGAAGAATAGCACTAGTAGTTCGCGAGAGACCACGAATACAGTAACACAAAGTTAATTCCCCTACCTAAATTAAGACATAAGGTCGTGTTTTTTTTTCTTTTCTATATTATAACAGATGTCTCATCTTACAAACTGAACATTAGAATTACGGGATACTTACGTTGGTTGTAGAAATAGTTTCGATAGTATAAAGCACCTAGATCTTGACTTTCGATTGGAAGTGGTGCCATTGACCTAACGAAAGGGCAGCCGTTTCGCCAATGTGAATGACCCGGTGGGAACTCCAGCATTGAAATACCGTACGACGTCCGTGGCCGATGCCAACCACCCGCCTGTCCTATGATAGCTCCACGTGCAGTACGCCAACATAATGACACACATCGTTCTTCTTCCCCTAATAAAAATATTTAATTATTGTTGATGCGATTAAAGTCGAACGTTTTACAAATTACTAATTCAAAATAATGTTTTTTCTTTAAATTTTGTAAGTACTTAATCGTAATCGCGATAATCTCTGTTTTGGTACATTACTATGTTTATTAATAATAATTATACTTAGTCTGGCCATAAATACTGTTACAATTAAAAATAAACAAAATATTACATTTGAATTTGGAATCTGTCATTTTTATATGATTGCTCATTGAGTTTTCTCATTTTGGCGCCAATACATTGTACAATATTTTGCGATATTAAAATGGAGTGGGGTGATAAAGAGAACCGAATCGCTGTGATTGCATTACACAAAGTAGNGGAATCTGTCATTTTTATATGATTGCTCATTGAGTTTTCTCATTTTGGCGCCAATACATTGTACAATATTTTGCGATATTAAAATGGAGTGGGGTGATAAAGAGAACCGAATCGCTGTGATTGCATTACACAAAGTAGGTATGGAGCCAAATGCAATTTTTAAAACTCTCCATACGCTTGGTATTAGTAAAATGTTTGTGTACTGGGCTATTAATAGGGGTGCAATGAGACCTCCTCTGTTTGTGACAGAAAAAGATCTGGCCGTCCACGTAGTGTTCGTACGAAAAAGGTAGTCAAAGCAGTAAGGGAAAGAATTCGAAGAAATCCTGTCCGAAAGCAAAAGATTTTATCTCGGGAGATGAAGATAGCACCTAGAACCATGTCGCGTATTTTAAAAGATGACTTAGGACTTGCAGCCTATAAGAGACGTACTTACTGGTCATTTCTTAACTGATAATTTAAAAGAGAATAGGGTGGTAAAATCGAAACAACTACTGAAGCGGTACGCAAAGGGAGGTCATAGAAATTTTGTTTACGGATGAGAACATTTTTACAGTTGAGCAACATTTTAACAAATAAAATGACCGTATTTATGCTCAAAGCTTTAAGGAAGCTTCCCAATTAGGCGACAGAGTGCAACGTGGGCACTATCCGACTTCAGTGATGGTTTGGTGGGGTATTAGCTATGAAGGAGTGACTGGGCCATACTTTTGTGAAAAAGGTATCGAAACATCGGCACAAGTGTATCAAGATACCATTCTTGAGAAGGTACTGAAGCCCCTTAACAACACCATGTTCAATAATCAAGAATGGTCCTTCCAGCAAGATTCGGCGACAGGTCATAAAGCTCGGTCTATGCAGTCTTGGTTGGAAACGAACGTTTCGGACTTCATCAGAGCTGAAGACTGGCCGTCGTCTAGTCCCGATCTTAATCTGCTGGATTATGATTTATGATCAGTTTTAGAGAGTATGGCTTGCTCTAAACGCCATGATAATTTGGAGTCCCTAAAACAATCCGTACGATTAGCAATGAAAAATTTTTCCTTGGAAAGAGTGCGTGCTTCTATTGATAGCTGGCCGCAACGTTTACAGGACTGTATTACAGTTAATGGAGACCACTTCAAATAAGCTTTTTATACTTTAAATTGTTTTATATTTATGTATTAAACTAACACATTGTAAAAGTAATAAATGTTATTTGCCATAGATTTTTTTGTTTTCCTTTGTAACAGTATTTATGGCCAGACTAAGTATATTTAATCGTTTCTTTTAATCATGTTTGATAATTTTTAAATTGAGTGGTGTAGACATAACATAATCCCAACTCATTGTCAGGGATTTAAGCAAAGGTAAAGAAAAAATTAATAGACTAGAGAAAGCCTATGTCAGAAGACAACTTGATGAATAAATATCATAAAATAAAATTGCAGGTATTAAGGTACATAATATTTATAGTTGTATATAGCATTCAAGAAATTAAAAAGTTGTTGATTAATATTGTCTTATGGTCATCGCCTTAAGGATAGTGCATTCGTATCTAGTAACACAACTGTGCCGGTGCGAGGTACCATTTTTTCTGATGAAAGACGTACTTAACAAATATTCACGATTGACTTTCACGGCAAAGGAATAACATCGTCTAAAAAAAATCAAAACCGCAAAAAATTTAATTTGCGTAATTACTGGTGATAGGTTCTCTTGTGAGGCCGCACGGGTAGGTACCACCACCCCGCCTATTTCTGCCGTGAAGCAGTAATGCGTTTCGGCTTGAAGGGTGGGGCAGCCGTTGTAAATATACTGAGACCTTAGAACTTATATCTCAAGGTGGGTGAGCGCATTTACGTTGTAGATGTCTATGGACTCCAGTAACCACTTAACACCAGGAGGGCTGTGAACTCGTCTACCCATCTAAGCATTAATAAATAAAAAACATTTTAAAGGGCTTACTGTGGGCTGTGGCAGTGTAGGAGCACCTACTTTTAAATCAATAGGTGGACCAAAAGCGGTGAATATTATCAATTAATGTTTAAATTACAGAATTAATTTTAAGAGTTAAAAAATAAATAAATATTTACTAACAATCACGCCACGTTAACTGGTCCCGTGGTAAGTTCGTAAAGAACTTGTGTTACAGGTACCAGATAACGGAAATAAATGTAATATTTTTATTATACACATACATATATCGTCGGCTTATTGCAAGAAGTCATTAAGTGACATATTCAATATTTTGGGAAAACGGCATTTTAGTTGGAATTAGTTAGTGGTTATGTTGATTAGCCCATATTATTCTTCATACATAATTACTGTGAGAAAAATTGAATGTTTTGGATTGCTTAATATGTATATTAATTAAAACAAGTGAGAGTCGGTAGTTATATAACATTATATATTATTTATAAACTAAAACTAAAAGTTAATGACTTCTTGCTACTGTAAGTCGGTTTTATATGTGAATTAATTATTTCTTAAATTAAAATAAAACAACAA